GGGAGCCCCACTGCTGTCAAGAACTTAACATTATTGTCCCCACTGTCGGCTGGGCTGCGGCCGGGGTGTTTGATAGCTGCTGTCAGGCGCAGGTTAAGGATGGGGAAGGGAAAAAGGCAGCTTTGAGCTACCCAAATCTCTCATCATGGCATTGATGTGTAAGCTTGGCATCGCCAAGGATGGAGTTCATCAGGTGTAATGTAAGAGTGACCCAATGTTTTATTGCCCTGGCTCCTCTCCAGGGAGCTAAGCATGTTTTGGATCTGTTTAGCTAGAGCAGGTTGCAATATAACACCTTTCCTTTTTTAAAAAATGCTAATAAATAGAAAATATTTTGAGCTGGGAGAAAAGAACGTTCAGTTATTGCCAAATTTGTCATTAATACTTTTGCCTGAAGGCTGAACAGATGAAATGATATAGAGGCGCCTTTTTAATGCAAATACCCGTCTGTTCAGGTTCTTGGACGGGAAGGGCTTGCGCGGTGGCTGTGGTCTGTTCCTGTGCTGCTGCTCACCCCAACGCAAACAGCTGGAAGCGTTTTAGAAAAAAGAGATGCAAGATGCTTATGCTTCAATTTCAGGAGTTATGCAAGCTTGACAGTTTTAAAAAACACTTAATTTTTGAATCTTAAAGTAGTAAAGTTTGTCATAGAAGTCAAACTAGTGTTTTTTCAGTGAGAAGTGTAGAAGAAGGAACAAAATAATCATCTGTTCTCTAAACTGGCATTTAGAGATGATTGATTTTAATTGAGAAGGAAAGCAAGTATTATCAAGATATTTCTACATTTATTAAATATGAATCTGAGTTTGCAGTTGCTGCAATCGATGGGAAACATCCTGTTATGCTCAGCGTGGGGTTCTTGATACAGAGTGTGTTTAGCAGCACCTCAAGCGACAAGGCCATGGGGCTGGGAGTGCAGGGTTTCTGTTTGCACCATGTGCTGCGCTGAGGTGTTAAAAAGGAGTTTTAAACTCTTGAATAAATCATTTCAAAATTTGTGGGCACGGTTTTGGGAGGCGAACACAGTTTATGAAGCTGTGTTTACTGTTGGGTTTAAGTGCTTGAATTTGCTGAGAGTATGCCAGTTGGATGTACGGATGCTACAGAACACATCGGATCAGAACTCTTTCTACTTTGCTCCTGCAGAATGTGAGAACTTCTTGGAGGATGGGCTGAGCAGCGTCTGTGCCTCGTCACAGGGCGTCCTTAAAAGAGAGTCCGGGAGCGAGTCTGACCTCTTCCCCTTGCCCGGTGATGGGATGGAAGACCTTGTCTTCGGAAAGGTAGGAAAGTCTGCTTGGGATATGGTTAAAAAAGCTCTGAGGCCTGATTTGATAAACCCGTACTGCAAACGCAGATCATCTTGGTTTCACTGGTGAGTCAGAAACCTGGAAGTGATTATCCTGGAATGGAATAGATGGGAAGGATCCGGTCCCTTCCTCAGCGACATGAGGGGTGTGTTTACTTGCAGCAGAATTCCAAAAACCGCGTGCCCCTAATGTTAAAAAGATGAAACTAATTTTGACTGTCCAAAAGTAAATCAGGTGCCAGAGGAACAGTTGAAAAGGTGGATTTTCTTGCAAAGTTGTTAGGGGTGGCACAGATGATATGAAAGCCATCTTTAACTCATGTAACAGAGTTTTCTCTGGCAAACGATGACCTCTGCACTGACACCTTCAGAATCACATACTGTAATTCTCGGAGGAACCAATGTTTTTCTGTAAATTCAGTGTAGCTCCCTGGCTAGGAAGGAAGCACTCGAAATACTTAAGGCCAATGGCAATGAATAGTTTTGTTGCCTAGGCGACATACCTCTAATGCGTGCAAGTAGAAGGAAAATGTTTCAGGTTTGCTTCAAATCAGCAACAGAAGTCGTTACTAACCTTAGTCATCCCTGTGCCCTTTGGGTTGCTCACAGCTGAGGAGGGGGAAGAGGGGTGGGTGAGACCTGAGATACAGCGTCAGTCTCCCTTGAGCATCCTGCCGTCCGCAGCAGAGCAGCCTGAATTTTTTTGCTTTTTAAGAATCATCTTGCTGGTAATTTATATTCTTTTTGCCATAAGTAGATGATGAAAATGCGCTCAGAAAGAATATAGTGATGCAGAATCAAAGGGGATGTGAACTGTCTTTAGAGCAGCCATCACCTTGGGCTCAGCTCCGTGAAATCACGTGCCTAGGTTTAGCTCCAGCTTACCTCTTGGAGCAGGCACAGTTCCTGCTCTGCAAAACTAAACTTTTGGAGTAGGTTTTACACTTGCTTTCAGAGAAATATATTTAATGAAACAAAATTCTCTTTGCTTAAATCAAATCAGATGATATTTTCCATCGGGACGGGAAACACCACAGCCCGGGCGAAGTGATCTCATGAGCTATAAATGAACAGTAAAGTCATCCTTAATGCATGTGGCAGGGCACAGAGCTCACCAGCCTCACCCTTTCCCATCTTACTCTCAAAGTGATGCGGGACCCTGGATTGTGAGAATATGAGCCTGTTTGGCAGAGGAGGAGACTGTCTTCAGTTTCCTCGTGTGGAGTGGCACGAATGATGACAGCCAACTGCCATTTGAACCTGATTTAATGCTTGTATGGGGATGCATGGGAGAAGAGTGCTGTGGGAACACAGTAAATTTTATATTGTACAAAATTTTAGTTTTTCCCCTTTCTTATGTGGAAAATTTGCTTCTCTAAATACAAGAAACAAAACTTAAAATGGATAGGTAGTGCAACATGGTAGGGATGCTGCAGGGAAAAGGAGGAGGTGGTGGGCAAAGCGGATCATCAGTTGCCAGTGGAGAGCGGGCACAGGGAGGAAATTATTTTCTTTGTAGGAAGGGAATTTCTTAATTTGTCAGCCTTTGCATTGTTCTTATTATTTGGTAGATTGCAGACTTCATCTGCAAACGGGTTCAAAAGGTTCCTGAGGTGAGTTTAAGAAGTTACTCAAAGCTAAGCTTGACCTCAGTCACTTTTTTTGTCTCTGCTTTGCTGACTAACTCGATCCCTGTCTCCTTTCTCAGAATTTATCTGAGTACCTTTTCTACAGTTGAAGTTATTTCTAGAAGGACCAGAGACACTAGTTTAGTGGTGTGAGCTTGTTCCTTCGCCCTTTTTTTTTTTTTTTTTTTAAGGCTTCTGAGCCCAGCTGGTAAAAATGTGAGTTATAAATATTTTTAAGAACCACTATAATAAATGCTGGATTTAATCTTTCTTCTGAAAAATAAGACTCATGTCTTGGTTGTAGGTGGTTAGCCTATGGAATGGTACGATTACCAGATCAAATTGGGAAGAGAGAGAACATGTTTATGAACAAAAAGAGGATCTCAAACCTTTCAGTGTCATGGAGATTATTGTTATTACTAGTGCTGTTCTTGTTTCCCCTTTGTATGGAGCAAGAGTTGAACTTTTGTCTGTTAGAGTTGTTTTTTATTGTATAAATCACTCCTCCTCTGTTAACTGCTTAATACATTAAAAGAAATTTAACAAGAACCAGCCATTGTCTGTCCAGGGTCTTTGGGCTGCTTCCACAGGCATCGCTTGAAATTCATAGATCTTGAGTCCTGGTTCTGTCCCAGGACCATGAGGAATTGGGGTCTCTGAGGTCACAAAATCTGCAGCTACCTTAAACTGTCCCTGATGTTCAGTGCATGGTCTCCTTGTGTCCTTTTTTTTTCTTTTTTCCGCTGTAAAAAACGCATGCTGAGCTGCGTAACGTGAGCTGCTGGGTGCAGAGAGCTGTAGCACTAAAACCTGACTTGTTTTTTCAGACTTTAGAGGCCGTTTGATGAAATCCAGAAATTGCTTCCAACGTGAGGTCTAAGACTTCAGCAAAATGTTTTATTTTTTTGCGTCAGCGCTTTATTCCCATGTCCTCGTTGTCCTGCTTTTCCTACTCCATCTCAGCCAGCCATCTGGGCAGGCTTTGCAACACCCTCCTGCCTGAATGATTAATGCTGCATAAGGTCATTTCTCACAATCATCAGGCAGCATCCTGGGGCGTAGCCCATGCGCTTTGCTCGTCTTAACTTTTAACCTGCCACTGAAATCCAGCGTTACTGGGAAGTTTTTTAATGTGCCCCTTGGGAAATAATTCAAACGAAAGGCCCTTGGGAAGTCAGGAACCCACAGATCATTGTCAAAGGAAGGGTTGCAACTCAGCCCCTTGAGTTTTGTTTAATTTCTGCCTTTGTTTTGGTTTGCTCAAGGAAACACACAAATACATAAATGTTTTGCATTTATTTTTTCAGAATTATTGTTTCTCTTAGAAGAAACAAATAAACACACCACACAAAAACCCCAACAACCAGGCAAAAACAACAAACTCAGAGGACTAAAGGTTTGGAGAGAGGCTTTCACCAGGGGAAGACTCCTCCACTCTGAACCGTAAAAATTATGATACAGTATTAATAGGAGGCAACTACTGAGGTTGATTTTAGAGAGCGTTGAGCCATAGGCAAATCCAAATAAGAAATGACTCTGCTAGATTATATATCAAGCCAACCAACGATATTGACTCCTTCAGTGCAGTGGTATGCCAGATAAACTTTAGGATGCCAGGGTTCAATTTTTTTCATCTTTTTTTTTTTTTTTTAAATACTGTAAGACCTTTAATGTCTTTGTCATGTGGAAGATCAAGGGACAGAGTCAGTTTGTGTCTCAGCACTTTGCGTTTTTGTCACCACGAAAATGATTGAAAGAACATTTTAATGCTACTTATCAAGACCTCCTACAGAGGGAGGGATTTAGTTGAAGAAGTTATCTTACACCCCCACCATCCTAGTGATTTATCTCTATTCACGAAGAAGTGCATACATGTTCTTAGAAAACTCACTTTTTATGCCTTATCTCATTTCTTCTTACTAGCTTCTCACCAACTACTGTTTCTGAGAGCAAAGAAGATGCCTGTTAGTGCGTGTCTCTAAAGGCTCTTCTCAGCCCTGAGTTTTATAGTCACAGTTAAGGGTTGAATTCATTGGGGTGCAATGCAGTAAGCTGAACTTGAAGAAAATTAGTGCTTCTTTAATGTTTCATTTTTCCTGTTGGAAAAGAACGCATTAGCAAAGCATTTCTATTCTGCAAACAGGGTATTTTCTTACTCAAATAGGATTAAACAGCAATGCGTATTTACTGGCACTTGACCAGGTAGCTACATAGGTGGCTACAATATAGATATTTCTTAGATGTGCCAGCCACACTTGGCTTTTTGCAGATACAGTTCTGGTCTTTCATATTAACTATTCTGCTTTATTTAAAAAAAATCATTTAAAAGAAAAAATAGTTTTAGAGGAATAAGCATGGGCCACAAGTTCAGGGGAACGGTTTATTGTGTTCTGTAGTCAGTCTGATGCTCAAAGTAAAAGTTAAAATGGACCAAATATATTTCACATTTTTCAAATATCTCTTTGAACTGCACTTTATGATAGAAACCTTAAATCTTCCCTACTAGGGAAGAGGGTCTACTTCTGCCTTTTAAACTGTAGCAGTATTCTCATATGGGAAATAAAAATTTCTCTTTTTACTCTAATCCCTCCCCATATAATTTGATTTCTGCACTATTGTCGCTGGACTTGCATCCGAATGTAATGTTTCCGAGCTGTCCCACCCTTCCCCTGTGCAGCTGGCGGGTGGTCCTCTCTCCTCCTGCCGGGCTGCCCTAACGTCTATCAGTGTTTTCCTGTGTCTCAGAAAAGGGAGGCAGACTGTTTCCTCTACTGAAGGAGTGTTATCCACAGAATGACTACTTCATTTGTCTGGAATTAAGCAATTCAGTAAGCGCTCATCATGACTCACACAAACATCAGATTATCTTGAATAATGCCAAAGTCGTCAAAAACTTTACAGGGCATCCATTTCAGTTCTCTCTTGTTTTAATCTACACTTCGTATTTAAATATCTGTCAAAGCCAACACTTTATGTCACAGTATAAGTTTCCTATTATTTACATAAATTCACCATTAATATTTGACATTCCTTACCATGAAATGAATGCTTTTGGAAGGATGTGTTTTTAGTGTGTTATTTAATATTTTGTGTTTAAAAGGTATATTGTATGTTGGTATTGTGTTGTGGATGCTGTCTTTTTTTCCCCTCTTTTTTACTTTGATGGATGGAAGAGGAGAATTAGTGTGACAGCATTTAGTTAAACCACCTTAGGAACATTATTATGTACCTGTTAAACCAAAATAAGAATAAAAAACAGTCAAACTTGAATTAAGACTTCCCTCTAAATTGTGAAATGTTGGATTAGCGTATTTCTTGAACACTTCATTTTCTTTTTGTTCAGTTTAACAAGACACTTTTAGCTTATAATGTGTGCCCATCAAAACAAGCAGAGAAAAGCAGAGTGCCTGGAGCATTTAACACTGCTGGGCTTGAACAAAGTCGGGGGGGGGATCGGAGGTGAGGACTGCCGTGGGGCAGCACCGCTCCCGTCCACCCTGTCCGGTGTGGGGTTTGATGCCCGTCTCTCCTGCCGAGATCAGGATTCTGTAGCCCGTTTCCCTCTGCCAGATGAGAGCTGACAGCCTGCAGCTCCTCGAGTGCTCAGCTTCTGCTGAGACCCACCGAGCCTGCTATTCGACGACAATTAACCGCTGTGGCTTTGCTGAATAGTCTGTTCTATAAGCTCTGGCAGATCATTCTGCCTATTATTATTTTAAATGATACAGCACAGGGCTCTGCAGGAGAATAAATTGAAACTTCCCACATCAGTCCCTTGGGGCAAACACCATTTCAAACTGAAGGTGATGTCAGAGGGATGCTTGTGGGATTTTGTGCTAGCCACGGGGAACGCAGAATACGCGCAGGCTCTGCTCGAGCTGTATGGTCAGCATGTGGCCTTTGGCCAAGGAGAACCAGTTTGACCTCCACTTACTGCTTTTGGAGCAAACTAAACCAAAAAATTGCAGTATGACTGGAGATCTGTAATACAGGGTGGCTGATCCTGTGGGATGATGTTTTTCAATTACAGTTGGACTTGAAAAGTGCTGCAAACCCTGGCATTAACTTTTTGCTTAATGGAAAGTAGCGGGGGATGGGGATTTAAGCTTTTAATTTTTTCTGTCTGTCTTCTACTATTGAATAATTGTCCTTTTTGTGCTGCACGACGCAGCGGAACAGTATGTTTCCCATGAGTTTTCATGGTTGAGACCTACAAACCCATCCCAGGTCCCACAGGAGGGGCTGGCGTGTGTCGTCAGGAGTCACAATGACCCAGTTCCCCATTAATTACTCTCCGCGAACCTTTGATGGTTTTATGGCACCTTGACCGATAACAGGTTTAGATAGAAACAGTGAGGGGTGCAGGGTTTGCTGTGCAGGGTGAATGTGGAATTGGAGAGGGGCAGGCAGGCAGAGGACCCGAGCTGCGAGCCCGGGGTTGTGGCAGCCAGGGACCTGCGGGGGTGGAAGAGATTGCGCTGTAGAGCATTTCAACTTCTTTTGAAAATAGAGCTAAAAGTTGCACTTCTGTGATGGTTAATTTACCTCGTCCTATGAACTAGGATATCTCTCAGCTCATGTGAAATATAAAATATTTGTATTTATTTAAAATGTTAAATGTATTCATTTTGTTGGAAGCGTTCAAGATCGGGTTGGATGGGGCTTTGAGCAACTTGATCTGGTGAACCGTGTCCCTACCCATGGCAGGGGGGCACGACGAGATGAGCTTTAAAGGTCCCTTCCACCCCAAACCTATGATTCCTGAACGATTCTACTCTAATAATTGTATTTTTAATTTTCCTTATCCGCAGCAGCCTGAAGAGGAGCAGTCTGTGTGTGATGTCACCAGCTCCAGTTCCTCTGCGGATGACACCATGTCCCTGGAGAGGAACTCATCTCTGGGCAGCGACACGTTCCTTCCCTTCCCGCCAATGGTGAACTTTGGCCAGCCCAAGGACAGGCACAGCCTGGATGGCAGCTGCACCAGCATGGTGGCTGCCGAGGGTGGAGAGAAGGAAGAGGAGCTGGACAGCATCACGGATGTGCCCGCTCATTCCTCCGTCTTACGAAACTCCATGCGGCCGCTGTCACCGTTCCGTCGACACAGTTGGGGGCCAGGGAAGAACGCCACCAACGAAGCAGAAATCAATCAGAGGAGGTGAGTGAAGAGCTGCTTTGATTTACTTTGCACCCACTCACGCATGTTTATCTAAGCCTTGAGCTCAGCGTGATAAAACAGAAAACGGAGGATGTCACTTTTGATTATTTCTTTTTTGCTCAGAGGGGTGAAGATAATTTCCTAACATATGTATGTTTGTTTTTTGTAAATTAGCTTTCAGGATTAAAGTACTTAATACCTACAGTACACTCCAGCCTTCCAGAGCGAATGGCAGTACCTTAGGACAGGTCTTTCGTTTGAACTGTCACCACCCCTTTCCATGCGAAGGACCTTGTTAAAGGATTTATTGGAGTGTTAAATCTCATTGACCACAAAATAAACGTGACCGTTGTTGCTCTGATTGTATTGAGTTAGCATAGGCACCAGGGTTTTAAAAAAAGGTGTGGAGGCTCCTGATTTGGCATAGTGGTGAGATGGGTAGTCCCTGTTTCACCAAACTGGTTCCACCTTGGTCGGTCATGGACAGTAAGTCCCATCTAACTCATCACCGATGTCCCCGGTGGTGCCCAGGAAGATTCGGAAGGGAAGTTTTCCCTGTTGTTCTTTCAGAAGATACAAGAGGGAGAGGTGTAACAGCCATATGAGGGTGTAGATGCTGGTGCCAAGGGCCTGTGAGAAGAAAAGGTGCTCAGACCCCGTCTCAGTGGGGAATACAATGAAGTAAAGGAGCACGCACACCAATACAGAAGTTGGTGTAAGGTTCCCCGCCGTGCTCTGCACTGTTTGGCACCTGGGCTGCCTGACGCTTGGGGTCAAACCCTGCGTGTTCTGAAACCAGCAGAGGTTTGGCCAGTATTTTTAATGTTGTTTAATGCTTTCAGAGCAGGAGTGGCCAGTTGTTTTAGCAGAGTTGGGGCGCCGTATCCTTCCGTCTCTCCGGTGCAGACCTGCAGCTTGCGGAGGCTGCAAGCCCAGGCGTGCTGCGCAGCGCCGCTCTCCGGGCTGCCCGCTGCCGTCTGCCTGGCCATGGGTCTGCTTTTGACATAAACGGAGCTATTGCATTTGGTGATGCCTTTGAAACAGAACTGGCCACTGACCATGGATTCCTGATAATGTGTTACTGGGCCACTGGGATAACCCAATGGGAGGCAGCAGCCTCCCATCACAGAGGTACGCGTCCTTTACACTTTAGGAGTTGTTGGTATCACTGAAGGAATGTCATAGGCACTTCAGATTTTAAAGCCAACACTGAAAAACATTCAGGACCCTGTAAGTAATACAGGGTGCAAGATTATTATTATTATAGCAGTTGTTATTGTTGTTATTTGCTGCTGGCACCTTTTTTTAGCTTCATTCCTCATCCCCGGGTGATATTTCAATAAATAAAGTAATACTTATCTTTTTAAAGCTACAAAAGAGTCAGCATAAGGTATACGTGCAGGTTTATGACAGAATGAGTCCATAAGCTCATAACCTCATTTAGAGAGATTTATTTTTAAGTGTAGGACCTGTTATGTAAGGATTTCTGAGGGTAGTAAACTGCATAGCTGGCAATTACTGCTAACACTTAACAGATGGGGTTAAATTCTCCTGCGTCAGACTTTGGAGACTGGTTTTGGTATGGGAAAATACATTCATTGTAAATGTAAGAAAATTTGAGTTAAAGGAACAGTAATTGTTCTCATATGTTCTTACATACAGCTGCTGCTACATAAGGATAGCTGTCACATGAGTTAATTAAAAAGCTGGCTGAGTCTCTGCTGCTGATTTGGTTCCTTTTTGGTTTGATGTTTCTGTTACAAAGAAATACGGATTATTTGGGTTGATTTTTTTATTTTCTTCTTTGTTCTTTTCATACGTGGCTGTTGTGATGTTGAGATTCTCGTTGCTTAGTGAGCAACAACAAATACTGAGGAAGTGAAGACCAAGCAAGTGTCTGTCATACAAATTAGTTAAATTTGGGGTGCTTGCTTACTCATTTATTTCACGTGCAGTAGATACTTTTCCATTAAAAGGGGAAAAGCCCTTACTGTAACCTGACTTCTGCAAAGCTTTGAAGTAAAGTAGCACAGAGCACAAGCCTTAGCGCAGGTTTGTCCTGCTGACGGGCAGTGCCTGTGCTGCTCCCACTGCGCCTTGTCCATGTGTCCTCTCCTCCTTGGGGCATTTCTCTGCTCCGTGGGTGAGTGTGTTGCACTCGCTAAATGAGCGGGAAGTGAACCAAATAAAGTGCAACTGCCGCCCAAACCAACCCAAGGATTAGAACTGGGCTGCGCAGCCGGGGAGAGGAATGGAGTGGCAGGCTGCACGACCAGCCGAGCGGTAAGAGATGCCTCCTGTCCCAGCAAAGGCTCACAGCCTGGTCCAGCTCCCATCCACACCAAAACTGGTCTTTCCCCAGATGGCAGAGGTAGCAAAGTCAAGCTTAAGTAGAGCTGCTGATACAGGACCCAAGGAGCCTAAGGAAAAAAAATCTTTTTTTTGTAGGATTTGGTCTTTTCCAGCATTACATGTTTGCTGTTTGTAAGAGGGATGAGCGTGAAAGTTTGTTCACAGAAAAGATCAGAAAAAAATGTAATCGTCTTAAAATGTGTAAACATGCTCAGTTCCCCTCTGCTTCCCCTCTCTCCTCAAATGCACTCCCTGGATAATCCTCTTGTCTACATTTTGCTATTAAAAATACAAAGAAAACTAACAAGGCTGCCACAAAAGGATGTTCATCCTTCAGTTAATTCCTGACATTCATAGCAGATCCGAAATGCCTGGCTTTCAACAATGATGCACTGTTTCCAACGTTCGGGTCCGAGGAAAGAAACGCCGGCACTTTTCACTGGTGGATTAAGCACTGCAGTGCTGGAGCTGGTGTTAATCATGGCTGCTAACAGCTTCTGTCAAATAGTTTGTCCTTATCTAAACTTTAAACTGGCCTGGCTTTGGCAGCTGCCAAGATGCAACACGGTCAGTATCTGTGAAACGTTCTTTCTGTACAAACACCCTCTCCCCCAAAAAAACCCAGATTTATTTGTAAAAGAGTGAGAGAGGAGGAAAGGAGAGACTCATTACTTCCTTTATTATTTAAGTTTGTGTTTTCTCTGTATGTCCATTCCCTCTGTTGTTTGTGTGTTGAGGATATTATTCCTTCAGCTGCCATTTGTTCATTTTTTTCCGTTCAAGCTGCTGACCACTCTCCATGATTCATTTTCAGTTCAATGCGAGTTCTGGGGGATGGTATAAAGAAGCCTCCCATTCATAGGAGAAGGTACAAAGCCAACTAATGTGACTAACTGTTTTGTGTTTGAATGTCTACTAACTGCATACTGTCATGTTAGTAAGCCTGTAGTACCTCTCAAGGCGTTGGCATTAGATCTGTGCATCCCGCTTGGCTGCTTTCCCTCTCCAGTCTGACCCAGGGCAGTTCTTCTGACCCGCAGAGCCCATGCTCAAGCCATTTTCTCCAGGACAGTATGTTAACAACTTGGAGAAACCTCAGATACCATTTTCGCGGCCTTTGCTGTGCGTAAAATTTGGAGTTGTATGAAAATAGTTGTTTACCTGAGAGCATGTGCGTAATTTGGATTTAAAGCGCACCAGGGGCTCCTGCCAAGGCTTGCAGGAGGGGCACCTGGGGAGGGGATGCATCAGAAATGATCTCAGAGTTGGAGAAATACTCTGCAGATCTGCAGCTGATTGAATTAAATGGCTTTAATTTTGCTCTTTTGCTGTTTTCTAAAACCATCTTCCTAAAAAATAGAAAATAAGTATGCTTTTCTTTACTTCAGTGTGTGTTTTTCTTCTGTATAGCAGACTTTCAGTTCCTCATCCATCGTGCAGATAGGCATTTTCACTCATGTAACCTTAGCGCTATCTATTAACATATAAAATAGGACACTTCATTTATGACACAGCAGACGGAGACTCTCCAGACTTACACGTTTTCAGACTGAAAAAAAGAAAAGTTTAACCTCTCTCCTTTAGTGGTTCGACCTCTTCTCATCTTCCACAGCCTACTACCTCTCCTCCCATGGCACGTTAACTCGGGATTTCGCTTCCCTTGAAATGGATGGGGTTACGTGTGTCTGTGTGTGTAAACAAACTGCCGTATTTCCACATATGAAACAAATGTTACCATGATGTTACTACCAAAGAAGTCACCATGCATCAGCATAAATGAAGCCGTATGAGCAGTGCTGTACAGTTCAGGAGAGAGTTCTTAAAAAAGAATTAAAAAAAAAAAAGGCACAAGAAAGGACATGGGTTTTTACTTCTACGAAGCCACTTTATTTGCATCACTGTTCTCTGGAGGAAGAAGTGCAGCGCTCGTCTCCTCAGCTTGTGCAAATGAACAGCTTTTTACTAGTTGTCTGTTAATACTGACACATCTCCTACAGTGGAGCCTTGAATCGTGATGTTCTGAAACAATGAGCTTAGACATAAGGAAAATGTTTCAAATAGGCAACCTAAAATACCTAGTTATGTCTGAAATGTGTGGTAATTCTTTCATAAGCGTTCTCTATTTTTTTTTTTCTGGCCTCCCAACCATTTTGGTATCATCCTCTCTAACCTTAGCTGCAGAGCAACAGTCTGAAACCAATTCCACCAGTTTATACTCTCCCACAGGGCTGATGTATATAATAGCTCGTCTCCCCCCTCCCCAAGTCGTTCTCTATAATGGCATTTTGCATGCTGTGTATTGATCTTGTTTGGTTTTTATGGTGTTGCCAGCAGATTGTGGGTAGCTCCCCAGCAGGACTGTAATTCTGTAAGATTCTGCTTTCCACAGCCCTTGCCAAGAGGTCTTTATCCTTCTCTGAGACCTTCTGCCTCTTACAGGCTTCCTCATACATGGATGCATGGCTCCTCTCCTTCCCTCCCTCCTCTTTTTTGCCTCCCTTCTCTGCAGTTTCAGCATTTGGCATTGTCACTGTAACAGGACAATGGTCATTGGACCTATTAGAGTGCACTATCTGGTGTAAATGTTACATCATTTCTTTAATGAGGCAAATCCACTCTCCTTCAATTCTTACTTGACCACACAGGAATTACTGACTTTTGCAAACAAGTCAGCATAGTTCCAAGGGTCCGCCAAGCACAGTAGCATTGGGGCCACAAGTGGATGGCTGGGAGGAGCACAAAGAGAGGAAGCATGTACGATATCTTCCTCAGGACACTTGCTCAGCCTCCATCCAGTTTCCACTGGGTAGGTTTTACTGACCTCCCCGGGGTTGGAACCCAAACCTGTGAGTGCATACTGAGACGTATGGTGGAGACGGGTTTACTGTGGCTAGGACTTGGTTATTTTATGATCTCAGGCAGGGATTTGGTCCCCCTGTCTTTCACTAATACTTCACTCTGCCACCATGGTTTAGTTGGATGATGATGAATTTCTTGAAATATTGACATGTTATGGGAGGGTACATCTCCATGAAGAATGCTTATGGCACTGTGCCAAGAGCTACTGGTGAAGCACACCTGGAGCTTTGGGGTGTAAAGATACTTCAGGTGTGTCCTCACCCAGTTAACATCCTGAGTAAACCAGGTAGCAATTTTCTGAACTCCACCATTGAACAACAACTGTCAAACCCTTCCTGAATGCTTCCAGTGTTGTACTGTGTGGGGGAACCATACAAGGACTTGGCATGGGATGATGCAGCCTGTGGCTTTAAACCTTCCGCTGTGCCCTCTGAGGTTTCTGGCACTTGCAAGTCCTGGCCCAGGGATACTTAGGCTTGTCCTGCCCTGGAGCAAAGCGTGCTCTGGCCTGTGTCCTCTCCTTGGGTGGATCGCAGGCCGGGGACTGGGAGCATGACTTGTGCACTGCTGTTCCGGCAGATCTGTGCTGATGCAAAATTCCCTTCAGACGATGTATTTTTCCTGGACAGCTTTTCCAGGATTTGGGGATCCTTTATATACCATAGCTGACAAGAAGATTGATTTCTCTGTGTCTGCAAAACCTGCAATTGGGCCATGAGCTGACAGAGAAAAAAATAACAAAAGCAGCATTTAAAATGACAAATGAAATATTTGCATTCTGTATTTGCATTCCTTATGTCTTTCGTGATGCAGCCTGGGACTCTTTTGGGGTATGGGAGCTGAAAGATCTAGTCAAAGTACTGTTTGAAGGTCGCTGATTTAATCCCAAGTTAATAGTAAGACAAGCCAGATTTTTTCTGCCAACCTCTTTAACTGATTTGCTGTGCAGAATTTAAGAACGTTACTCTCCTCTTATTTTTCCTAAGTGTAGCCTGAGGTTATTAATACTTGTATGGAGGAGACTTAAACGATTAAATATCTGTAAGGAGTTCTTCTTCTGATCTGGGAATGAGAGGTACCAGAAAAATACTAATCATTACTAACACAACGGTTGTGTGTGATTACTTATGTAAAATTGGCTTTGGTGTGTCTTAGCCTTGTTTTCTCCCAAAATAACCCTTCCACAAGGAGCAGTTTCTCCATTGCATGGTCTGCGCGCCGATGGGATCGGTTGGGGGGAAGCATGGACTGTCCTCCTCTCCATTTGGTGGTAACCTTGCTCACTTGGGGCACTCTGATGTGTCCTGGCAGCCAGAACGATGTAGTAGCTACTGCATTATTTCAGAGTTTGTTGGTTTTTATTTTTTGTTCTAAGGTATGCAAGAGTGAGAGTCGTTTAACATTCCCCTGCTGTGTCACAATCCAATAATCACAGCCCTTTTCCTTTCTTTGCCTCTTTTGATGTTCCTAGTTTGAGCTGGTGTCCCTCTGGTGTACAGTTCATTGCCACGGGTCCTGACTTTACTTGTAGAAGGTACGGTATAAATAAATGTGCAGCAGCAAAGGAGCACTGCATACACCTTGTTGTCAGCTTTTTGTGCGTGGTCTTCTCTGCTGCCGCTCTGGCTGAAGCGTGCACGTGTGCGTTTGCTTCGTCTGCTTTTTCAGCAATGCCATGTCGGGAATGGGTCTTCTGAGCTGGGGTGCAGGTGAAGGTGGTGGCTGCTTTTCACTGGCCTCGAGCAATAAAGAAGCTGCGCTGTTGGTTTGAGCTGCTCTATTCCCTGATGATTTTAAGGCCTGTTTTTTCCGCAGCAGTGATCATAATGATAATTGTCACATCCAGAGAATCAAAGCAAGAGTTAATGTGATTCAGCGCCACTTTGTTCTGGATGGATCTCATAAAGGACTGAAGTTTGTACAGACGTGCTCTTTGCAAACTGAAAGATCTATTTTCTTCTTCAAAGAGGCTAATCATGTAAAAACAATCTGATAGCCACAGATGAAGATTTCCCAGGCATTTCAAGCTTCTGTCTTCTGTAGGAAGTCCCGATGCTTGCAGGTCAGGTCTTTCCCTGATGTTGCCTAGAAGCTGGTCTCCCAGATTTTATAGCTTCTGATTTCTTCTGGCAGTTCTTGCTGGTTGTGGATAGAGCTATTAATCTCTTTTTCTGAAGACTAGATATTGAGACAGAAGTCAGTATGTCCTTCCCATTACAGATTTAGTTACATTTGGTCTATATATCCCCACCAATAACTACAGACCAGTATTACCAGCTGATGTCTAGTTTATGTGCTGTCTCACATTTGCAGTTTTGAGCTGTTTGTGTCACAACAAACTATGTGATTTTTTCTGCACTAATAACATCATTGTTTTCACCTTGGGATGCAAGAAAAAAATTGTTCCTCTGCCCTAAATAATCAGTAGGAATGTGACTGATTTCACTTTGCAAGTGCTTTAGAATAAACTTTCTAATGCCTGCTATTGATACACGTTGTTGAGTCAAAAATCTTCTTAAGGAGATTAAATTGTAAATGCCTCGATCAGTCTTCTTTCTCATTAACCAACATGCAAAAAGTCTTTAAAAATTACCTAAATCTTATTTAAGGTTTATTGCAACTTTTGCTTTGAAGATGCATATTTGTCAGCCACTTAATGCTTCTAAAGGAATGCAGAACTTGAATCGCTCCTGTGTAAGTCCATCTGATTTTAAAGGTCCTCTGGTTGTTTAAATACTCTGTACAATCTCTAGTGTGTTTTCCCTTTCATTTGCTTCCGTGTTAGTTAACTACTTATATGTCACGATTAGCCTCAAGTTGGGATATATATCCAGGATAGGCCTTGTTTCAAGGTAGCAGGGCTTTGTGTGCATAAAATAGGGTATTAGCTATGGAGTTGTGCTGGTGTAGCAGGAGGTGAATCTGTAAAGCTTGCAAATTAACCCAAACGGGCATTGCAGTGGGTTTATCAACGCTTGGGCACAAGGAGCAGGAGGGTCAGAAGCAGAATATCAGGGCCGAGAAAGATAAGAAGGAAATAGTCACATGTGAAAGATGGGTTGGTTTATGTAGGCGAGAATAGAGTGCCGGAGCATTTTTCTGTAGAGGTCACGTGTCCATCATCTCTATCAGCAGCTGTCTCTAGAGAGATTGGCCAAACCTTTTGTTACTACCAATTCTGCAAGCGGAAGTTTGGTATTTTGTTTAGCTTTGAGTGATTATGTCTGGCTCCATCGGACAGATGTAGCGTCATCAGCGAGTGATAAAACAGGATTCATTGGCTGGTGGAGACAACACCTGGTGGTGGTCAAGGACAGGCAGCACTGTGCTATACAAGGTAGTTTAATTTGGGTGTCTTTATTCCCAAGGAGAACCTAATAAAAAGCTAGCAAAGAGAATATATGGAAATATCAAAACCTTTAGAAGAGGTGTTTCTAGATTTTCCTGTGCACCATTCAAGAAGGAGAAAAAAAACCAAACCAAAACAAAAGAGTAGGAAAGCCTGTTGACCAGGAGTTTGAATGGTCATTCTCAAGCAACAGTTGTGTCTCTTTAGAGGCACAAAGATGCTGCTATTTGTTCTAAAGAAAATAAAAATCCCTCTGCTGCTATCTGCAGTTGGTCATTGAGAAGTAACGTGCTGAGGAATAACATCAGCATTTCCTTGCACCATTCAGTTTGTGGCTGTGTTGTGTTTCACACTTGAAGGTGCTGTGTGCTGAAAGACACGGGTCCGTAAGAGCTTGCCGAAATCTAACCTCCATGGTTTCTCTTCAGTTACAGCCTAGAAGGCCTTGCTGGAGAGTCTGGTGAGAACAAGAAGCCCTCTACAAACTTGGAGGCTTCTTCTCTGAGCTCCAAAGACCTCAGACGGAGTCCGCTTACCAGCAGTCAGTGTGGGTCCCTGGCCTTGCTCACTGAAGAACTCAAACACGGGGAAATCAGAGACTACAATCACCAGGTAAAGCTGTCTGACTGTTGTTAGGTTTATAGAAAATGCTACATCAGAGTTTTGAAGTAATTTTCCCAAGTCACAGGTTCGCTGTGAAGGTTTCCACCCTTAAGGACAGATGGACCTTAATATTATGATAATTTCTGCTTATTTTTGTTAAAAGAAGCAATTACAGGCATAAACACTAGAAATACCCTGAATTTCCGAGTTTGAAGTTTCAGCCGTAGTATTTTCTGGGTTTGTGCCAGAACCATTAGCCAGCCAGTCTGTTTACCCCTTGGAGTCACTGCTGTGCATCAAGGCAGTAAGCAGGTCTTACAAGATCTGGCCTGTAAGAGCTGTTATGTTGTGACTCTCATATCATCTCTTGCTTTGAGGAATGACATTTTTGGGCAACACACTAAGCATCAGATACTTTACCATGTTGAACCACAGTCTGGTTATGCTTAGAGACTGGAATCACAGCAGTAATTTCAGTGGCCATCAGACAATTAACACTGTCCATCCTGGTAATATCCAAGTAAAATCTTGCAAGAAAATCAAGCAGCCAGGGTCTCTGTTTGTTGCATAATTAGTTGTCTTCACTTAAAAGACAAAACAAAATGTTGCTTTTCACCTATGTGACACTGGTTGCATTTTTTGTGGTCCTTGCATTTTTCACCTATTCTCTTATACAGAGATCATTTCAATTTTCCGCTGTTTGAAAGTGAGAATTACAGTAAACATGAGCACTGAACTGTGATCTGTAGTTGGAATAGCGCTGTCGTGCATGACATATTTGCTCAGTGTGGGTTTTTTTCTGTTTTGCAGATGCATCAAACATCGCAGCCGCAAGGATTTAATTTCTGTTCTTCCTCTGTTGCATCTCCACTGACCAAATCTATGTCTCTAATGTCAATTAGTAAACCAGTGCTGGACAGTGAGTAACACAATTTTCCCTTATACTTATCCATTCTGTCATCTGTAATATTAAGTATATTTTACTACCTTCCCAAGGCAGAATTTGCTAGTACCTGCTCTTGCTTTCCTATATTATGTGAAATATAGGTTTCACTGCTGCATGGAATTGTGGGTGGAAAGGCAGAACTCGTTCAGTCTAGATCTGTGTTTTGTTCTTCCCAGCATATCCCTGGTGTAGCAAGTTCTGTTGGGTTTCTTTTGTTTGTTTTTTTTTTCTTAATTACAGTACTGATACGAAAACAATGATTTATTGAGTTTGTTACTTAAAAAAAGAAAAACACTTTGAGTTTTGCATCCTTTCAGAATTTCTTCCTGTGATGTTGAGGTAAATTCCACTTGAAATCTTACTTTCCTACTTCTAGATTTTTTGGAAGTTGATATAAGGAAATTTGAGAATCTGTGTCTGAGTCTCTTTGGTTTTGTTTATTTTGAGCTAAATGTTTTGGGGCAGTTGGGTATAATTTATTGAATCACAGTCCTGAAGAAAATAATAAAAGAAAATTAGCTGAAATTTTTCAGTTTAGCTTAATTAAAGCAATAACAAGCACTTAATTTTGCAACTTCACTGAATTGATTCTTTCAGCTGAACAAGTCATTCAGAAGGCTGCAGCTGGATGTGCTTAGGAGGGGCCATGTTAACACATGTTTTGATTTTATTAATTGCCATCCAGAAACTATATTGACATTTTAGATCATGTCTTGTCAATCAGTGATGGTCTCTTATCTTTTCTTCTTTATTAACTTGCTTCTTCCTTGCAAAGCTGAGCAAGGAAAAGGTGTTTTTAAGACAGGCATTTTGTTCATTTAGGAGGCTTGCTGGAGGAAGCTCACAGAGATTGTTCTTTGTAGGAGACGTTTTTGAATTCCTCACCATCGTTTTTCCATGATTAATAAGTATGTGGCCTCATGGATGTGTCCCCCAGCAACGGTAACCAAAACATGGGCAGATCTGTCCTGTGGAAAGGCCCGCTCCTGCTCTGTGCGATGGCGCAGCCGCTTTCTCTTGGGGTGAAGGCCTTCGTTATGTTTTTAGAAGCAACCCCTTTATTGGCATGGCATCCAGTTGCTAACCAAACACCATAAAGAACTCGGCTGGCTCCCAGAACACTGGTGGCTCAGAGAGCCTGGTGGGCTGAGGCTTGAGACTTTCCTTTTGGCCCACGGCAGAGTGTTACAACAGCAGGAAACTTGTGCCGCCATCTTGGGATGGGACAGCTTGCCACCTGCCCTCTCTGCTCTGTCTTGTGACCCATGTTAAAAATGCCATCAGGACCTGAGCTGGTGGTAGACAGGTTTGATGACCCTGTCTTCTTCAAGAGTCGGGCCTAGAAGGAAAAGAGAAGGTGTGATAAGCAATCTAGAGGGGCTGTGGAAGAAATGGCAGGGTTAGTCTTCTGCTCCAAGGTGGATGTGGGTTTTGGAGACTGAAGTTAAAAATGGCTGACACTTCTGTGTGCTTTATTTTCTCAGTAGTTAATTTGCAACACCTCAGAAGGGCCTCATTTTTATAGGAAGGTGGTTTCTGAAAATCGATGCATATGAGGCAGTTGATGTGAGCATCCAAAAGGATTGCTCACCTTGAAAATTTAGATTATGGGTTCGCTTCGCAACTCTGACACTTTCCTGACTTTGGAAACTTCAGTAAATCACTTCATTCTTCCTCAGTCACTTTGAAAGAGGAATAGTGTTGCATGAGTTGTGACCGTAACTACAGGTGAAGGAGATCAGTGCCTTTTACAAGAAGGTCTCGATGTATAAATTCCCTTGTATCACGTAGGTTTGACATTCACGTTATTGCAGCAGAACACTTCAGAGTTATGCAAATATAAATCCTTGGTTTCATGGAGGTGAATTCTAGGAAAACTTCAGTTCTTCATTTCACTAGCATAATTTTGTGGTAGGCGTTAAAACAAAAAATTCTCTGATCCATGCAAATGTATCTGAATGGGAAGAGCACGACATGTTCTGCACAAAAGCTTCAAAAAACTAAATGCAAGCGAATAAACATGTGGAGGGCTTTCTCTTGTTTTTCCCTGTTTATTGTCATATGTGCTGAGGCAGGAGCAATTTCCAAGACATGCCAATTTCCAAGTTTCTCGCCTGCACTCGCTCTGATGTCTCAGATGTTCCAAGAGCTGCTGTGGCCGTTCACAACTGTTAATCCTTCTGCATTTTGTAGAGGGAGGTCACAAGAGCTGTTGGCTGGAGTGCTCGGAAGACTGCTTTCGGCTTTGGAATAGCAAATTTCCAGTGTGGAGCATTGTTGTAAAGCCAGGAACTGCTATAAATAAAACCACTGAAATGGAAGTTGAATTGAACTGTGCTGGAGGAGGTGGTTCTATTTACAGTAAAGTATTATTGTTCATCTTGACTTTCAGTCTAAATAGACAGTAGACTACAGAAGAAAGAAAGCAGTGCTGCCTAGTCGTGTTCTTCAGGTCTGGGACACTAGAACAACTTTTTTGAAAGGCAGTCTAAACAAAATTAATCCATGAATCTTGCTAAGAATTCTTCAATTTAAATGCCTTTCATTGGGTCCCTCTAGGGTTGTTCTGCTTAGCGGGAAAAGAGTGTACATAATTTTAGTCAAATTGCGTCTAGGCAAATGGCATTTATGGCCAATGGCTGAAGGAAAATTTCAGGGGAGTTTGCTTTGCATTGCTTGCATTGCTTTGGACATTCCTTGGGCAGTATTTTTATATTCTGAATTCAGTGTGGGGGTGTGGTATCAGCAATACAAAAAATTCTCTTTGTGTGTGGCTGAATGGACATGTTTTGTTCAGAGAGAGTCATAGTTGCTACTTCTGTCTCTTGGAAGTTTAATACTGATAAAGTCTTTAGCCTCTTTTCCCTGTTGTGCAAGCAAATTGATTTATTCGTGCCATGGAATGACTTGAAAGTCCCTGAATATGTGCGCTGAAGATGTTTAATGTAGATGTTTAATGCAGGACCCTTAGGTCAGACCTGTCCCAGGGGCAGAGTTTCCCCTGCCCTGTCCCAGTTGTCATTCCCGAGGACACACTGATGTGAGCGATGGGTATCCAGCAGCCTGACATTGGTCAGGTCACAGCTCGGAGGCTTCCACCTGTGCTTGTACGAAGAGAAAGTTTGGGAAGTACAGTCCTTGGGCATCTCCGTAAGAGGCTATGTAGCCATTTCAGTTAAGAGTGGCTAGCTGGCTCCTGCATCTCTTTTTGGAGAAGATTGTACTTATAAAGAATTGTTGTAAAGCTGCTGCTATGCAAGAACTGCTTAAAAAAATATATTTTTAAACAGGAATTACAGTAAACCCTTTTAATTTGCAAAGTTTGGAGACGAGGGCATGAACAAACAGCAGGGATTCCTGGAAAAGTGCATAGTACTGGAAGATAAATATAGCTTCACAAATTGGAATAAGCAGAAGGCCGAGCACTAACATGTGTGAGAAAAGATGATTGAACTCATCGTTAACCACTGATAATGGGAGATTTGATGTCACAGGCTGGTTTGGCACTGTGTTTGGTAGACTTCTGCCAGGCAAGCATAGGAGAGGGTGCAGGAGGGGGCAGTTTCTTTAAAACAAGGACTGTGAGTTTTAGAAGTCAGATGCTTAGTTTTTCTGTTTTATTTTGGAAGAAAAGAGAAAGGAAATTTAGGTGTCTCCTTTTTAAAGCTGGAAACTTTGAAGGGCATAACATTATCAAAATGTTTGGGGTTTTTTAGGGATAGAAGTGTCGAGAACCTCCCTGGATAAATAAAGTCAACACTTCAGATAAAGTATCCTTGATAATACCTGGCAGCTTTGCTGTGTCATTTAACTGCAAAGAGCACCATTAAACAAATATCTGGAGTTGTTCTAGTTTGATTCTCTGGCAGTTATTTCAGTGAAGCAGATGCCCTTTGTCCAGAGATCCACTGCGTTTATTGTTTGGGAAAATAACTGTTCACGTGGAAGTCTTCATTAGGAGTTCCTGTAAAAAGTTGACAGCGAAGATAAGAAAGCCTTGAACCTCCACTTATGCATGCAGTGAGACCTGCACCCTCTGAAACCTGCATTCTCTGGAGTTTGCACATTCTCAATTCTTTGTTTCTTGTGCCTTTTCTGAAGCCAGCTGCTTTGCAGACATTTCCTTTGCTTTGGTTTTAGTTTGCTTTGGCCGCTTTCCTCTCCTTTTTGTTATTAAACGCATTTTCAAGCATGCTCTAATGTCTGCTGTTAACCCACTTCTCAGCCCAGGGCCGAACGCGACCATCGAGACGGATCTCCTTCTCCTTCAGCATCTCTCCACTCATTCCTAAGTCTAAAACTCTCTTTTCTATTGGCTCTTCTTCCAGTGATGAGGAGGAGGAGTTGGATAGTAAGTAACCGTTTTCTATGCGTTGCAGCCATTATGGGTGGAAACATGGGCAAAATCTCGTTTTCTGCTTTAGACCTTGAAGTTTCACCTTGCAAGCATTGAACTAACCTTTCTGTTGCATGGTGTCTAACAGCATTATCTTAGTCCTGTATCTGAATACTATCTAATGGCAGAATAAAAAGATTATAATCCAAAGAGTCTTGTACATCAGCACTGTCACGTCGCATCTGGTTAGTTTTGGCCTGTATCCATGTGGCAAATATCATCATCTGCCACTCTGACCAGCAATGCAGTCATTACCTTTTTATTAAAACCAGAATACTTCTCTTGCAATTGTTGCAGTGCACGGAGTTAACAGAAGAGGTAGATCTTTACCCTCCATAGGTGAGAGTGAGTATGTTTCTCAGTGGAAGTAGGAGAAGAGGAGAGAAACCCTGATCTTAAATTCTGAAAATCTTGCTTACAACTTCATGGTTCCCCTACTGAACAAGAAGCATACATTGCAGCCAAACACCGTAAATCGTCAAAGTGTTCATGTCTAGGTTCTGATATTATAATCAGAATAGTTTTATTGGGAAACAGGCAAGTATTGTATGGTAGCTTTTTTTCCCCTCCCTCAAACTCCATTGCTAAAAGAAACCCAGCTAAGACAGAAGATAGAATTTAAATAATTTAGACTCCTTGTGTTTTTTTTTGAATTGGCTTATCAAAGATAGTTGAAAATGCTTCTTATTTCTTAAGCATGTTTTATTAGACTGTTGAAATAAACCAGAACAGATAATTCTCTATCTAAGGAGAAAATTCAGAGCAGCTGCATTAGTTGGTTCAAATCAAAGGTTTGCAAGGAAACTAGCCCACGTCCCTCATGTCCATACTGGGATGGGGGAAGCTGCTTTCCAGTCCAACAAATTTTGGTTGCTTCCTAAATTTAAAATATCTCCACACCATCCATGTTGTGGTTATCTAAATTCTTCTCCTTTCCATTCCCAGTCTTCACTGTGGGTTTGTCCCTTCCTACAAAGAACGTCCTGTGCTCTTTCCAGGTGTGACGCTACCCACTTCCCTCCTTCAGCTCCTTCCTCCTTCCCTTTTGCTCTGTCCTTCTCTTCTGCCTTCAACAAAACTTGCAATTCATTGTCCCCACAAAGTGAGCTGCAAACACACAGCTGTGCATTGATGTCGTGCTCCCACGGTAAAAAGTACTCTTAGCTAAACTTCTTGGTGGATTTTGTTTTTCAGTTCTTTTTTTGGGTTTTTTTGGTTTTTGTTTGGTAGGGTTTGTTTGGTTTTTTTTTTAAATTTCTTTTTGTTTGTTTTAAGCAACCAACCAGTTAAGTAATTCCCAATAGTCAGTTTAGGATATAGCAGTTTCAGGGGGTTATTGTTAGCTGGTATTTATCTTCTCTCCCTCAACAGTACTGCTGTTACCGATGAGCATTTAAAGTAATGTTGGATATTGTCTCAAACAAAGATGTTGCTTTCTTTACATGTGTTTTATTCCATCATATTTGAGGGTGCTGTGGTGACTTTTGAATAAAGCCACAGCTTTTGGTTTAGCCCCAGCTATTCATAAGACTGCTTTGGCAATGGGAATTTTTCAAGTAGTAATCCCAGACCAGTTTGTTTATTTTTTCACATCTTCAGGGTTCATTTCTCATGAGAGGGTGGATGTGTTAGCATGGAGATTGCACTTGCATTTCAGTTACTGTTCCTCAACCTCTCCATACCTCTTTTTGTCTAGAGTATGGAGAATTAGTTACAGATTGTTTGATATCGTGTATTTAAGATGTGGATTTCGGATGGCTGGACAAGCCAGTCTGTGCATTTTAGAATACCATATGAAATCATTTTGGTGGGTGATGCTTAAAAGGTGTTAAGTACACCAAAATTTGGCTGCTAGCCCAGATTCATTGGGCTTAGATAGCAGTCCTGGCCTTTGCACAAAACTAACTTCTTTTGTGGGTCGTGAAATCAGTTTTAGCGTTTCAGTTTGAACGTAGGCATGATAGAAGACACAAAAATTATGAAAATAAACCTTCTTTGCCATCTTCTATTTAAAAAAAAAATTGAATGTGAGAAAATGTGTGTTTTTCGATGCTTATCTTAAAGCTTGCAGCAGAATGTTGATCATATGATGTTCTATTGTAAATTGAAATATGAAATCATAATCAAGCTTTCACCTTGATTTTTCTCTGGATCCATTTTGCCTGCCAGTGTCAAGAATCCCCCATTTTTGAGATAAAACATGATTGCAGTAAAAGATAAATAGTACATAATTTAAGTTCCCGTGCAATGTACTTTCTCTGGAAAACAGTCACGAATATCAAATTAATACAGCTCTTGATTCCACCTTCATTCATATTTCTTACATTAACTATAAAGAAACAGAAAGGTTTGTGCAATATGTAAATCCAGTTGAACTGATGAATCTATTAAAGGAAAGACTAAGGAGGCTTAGCCCATTTTAAAAGCAAACTAGAAGTGAAACGTGAACCAGGGTCACTGGAATGTTAACCAGGGAGTTGGGAGTCTGTAAATTACTTGTGTGATCTTAGTAGGCACTTAGGTAGTAGATATTATATAAAAACCCAGCACAGCCAGGGAATTGAATCGTAGACTTCATTTGATATATGTTACATTATTACTAACTTTGTTGTATTTGGGATCATTAATTAAATGGAAGACGTTGCAAGGGAGGTATTAACAGAGATCTCCAAGCAGGGGTTAGGTAATGGGATGTGCCTGTATTTTAGTTTTTCAATATGAAGAAATGATATGTCTGACTCGGGCTGTGTTCACACTTGACACAGCGGTTAGGAAAATGTGTATTTTAGAATCAGAAGGCATGGTATTGTGCGCGCAGTTTTTCCTAATGCACTTACTGCTTTTGGATAGAGGACCATCTTTGCCTCTGATGTCAAATGGCTCTTTTGCATTCGCCCTTAGCTTTAATATGTGAACAGAATTTGAAGCCAAAGTACTGTTTTTCTTACAATGTATGTGCAAAAGCCTAGTAAGATGATCAGTCATGCTGCTTCTTGAGGTTCAGGTAGCACTGCGAACGGTACTTGTAATGAGGGCTTTTTTGAGTCCTGACAAGCCCAGTTACTCTGAAGAGAGCCCTCTCTCCTCTGGATCATTTCATCCTGAGTTTTCAGTATTCTTTAACGGTTCTGGTAAATGGTATCAGCTACCTAATCTGCTCCAAATGCATTGTGCAAGCAGGTTTCTTGTGGTATAAAGAGAATTTGTGTCATTGGCAGGGCTTCAGCTTCATGTCAGAAGTCAGGCTTTCCTCAAGCACACTGTTGTGTGACGAAGCCCTAGGCTGGTAGTGTTTCATGGAAAACAGAATAAGGCTTCCCTTGTTTCCCTTATTCTTTATGAAGTGCTTCAAGATTTTGATGGGAAAATGAACTATAATTTTATCAAGCAGAAAAGTTTTATACATGAAACCCGGATGTGTTGTACAATACATTCTTTCTGGTAGTGTATAAATAAAAGCATTGTAGCAGAATGATTCTCATTTATACCTATTGTCATTGAATTGGCAGTTCTGATTCAGATACCCCATTTACCAGCAAACTTAACACAGGCAGATCCTTTGCTTTAACAGCTGAAGAATGATAAAAATACTAAGCAGGCTTTCACCTCAGCATCTAATTCGAGAGCACCTAAGGATACAGGGAACAGGCTTTATCCTGAACACATGAAATCTATTCTAAACACTCACTTCTGGAAAACATTTCCTCTTCCTCTTGAACTGTCCAAATATGCAAACTGTGTTTTTAAAATCAGTTGGCTAAGATTATAGTCTAACATGTCACCCCCCCCCACCTCTGATCTGTCTTTTCCAGGTACACAGGCGTTCAGCGGCCCCGCGGGTTCCTCGGTTCAGAGGTACAGTATTCTGGGGCTACCACGTCTCTTTTGGTGGGATTCGGCACTGGGCTCTGAGTTGGACACCCAGAAGCCTTCCTGGCACCAATGCATTTCAGCTGAAATCACAGGTCATCAGGCTTGTGAGAATCAGTCCCTTATGTCTAAAGGCTGAAGAATATTTTAGGCCACAGAATATGAAAGTCTGCTCTAGGTCCTAACAAGACTTTGTGTTTATTTGTAGCTAATAACAGGTTATTTATTATCAAACAATATCAGCTTACCCTGAGTTACATTTTACACTAAAAGTAGTTGTTCGTCCCTTTGGTTAATTCTGTCTCTATTTCTATAACGAAGGCCAAATTGATCACGTTTTTGTATGGTACTTTTCGTCCCTGCAAGCTGTAGGAGGAGATAATCTTTATGGTGGGTGCTGGCTTTAAAAGCACTTCCCTGGAGGAAGGACATTGGTGGCACCGAAGGAGCTGGGTGTCTGGTCTCTGTGTCACTCTGACAGCTTCGGCTTTATTTCGTGGCTGGGGGCTCTTCACGTCAACTCGCTGCTGTTTTCTCCTCCCTGATTTCATTTGTCTTTCTGTCATTCTGCTTTTGGTTTGCATTGTACTTCCTATTGACAGACTGTGTCCTTTTCTTGATTGCAATAATAATTTGCTCCGTAATTTCTTATTCTTCCAGAGAAGCTGAAGAAGTCATAAGTTTGTGCGTGTAAAGATTGGCAGAACATAGCTGATGTCTCAGAAATGCTTAAATCAATACAAATAACCATTGCTGTTTGTTCCTCGGTATTCTCGTTCGTCAGGGGAGGCTTTGCAGACAGTGTGGTTTCTGTAAAAGACACTCACTGCCTTTTCAGAGTTCATTAGATGTCTTCTGGAAGGAGATTACCCTTTAAAGGATGTGTGCATGTCTATCCCTTTCTGTCTGAAATACTGATGATTAAATGGCAAGGCTGACTGTGTGTCTGCAATATTGGCCACGTAAGTGGGCCGACGCTGCGAACTGGTTAGTGGTTATTTGGCCACAGGAGCAGCAGAGGGTGCTATGACATGGACTGGGAATGGAGATTGCTTAAAAACAGATTAAAGGATGCCTTGAAATATGTGGCAAACTGCTGCATTGGCATTTTGTCTTCACTTTGCCTTCTCTGGTGGAACACCACAAAGCAAATTGTGACTCTGTTGGATATTGGATAATAAATGCATTTGTCCTTTAAAAAAAAAAATCTATCCATTTAATAGATGCTTTGGGAAAAAAAAAAAATAAACCCAACCTCTTTCTTTTTTGATTTTAGTATATCTGAAGAGAGCAGCAGTGTCCCCACTGGTAAAGGTGCAACAAAAGTCAGTCGCACCTTCAGCTACCTCAGGAATAAAATGTCCAGCAGCAAGAAGAGCAAGGTAGGTACTTCTTGTGATTTATACAGCCATGAAATACCCACAGGTAGCAGAGATGAATTCTCTACTTCAGTATGTTTGCATAGGGTGGTATTTATGTGTTTGCCTGACTTTCTTTTCTTTTTCTCTTCCTTTTGCGGGGGGAGGATTGTCTGTGGGGTAGCAGGGAATAGCTACATGGAATATCTTAGCACCTCAGAATTGAAGTGCATCTGAGGTGAGTTTTCCTGTGCAGTGTTTTTGCCTCTTTTCGCCACAGGATGAAGCTTCATTTATTACAGGCAGTAGTTTGTGCACCGTCATAAGTTATGGCTTGCAGTGATTGATGAGTCTTAGTTTTTACAGAACTTGAGAGGTCTTTAATAAAATGAGTACAGGAGCTGTAAGAAGGGACTGGCTGCTGAAGGTTGTATTGTGTTTCCCTTTTATATTTACCTTTGCCACAAAGTTCCCGTGGACTGCTGGAGAAGTTTCTCAAACTGTGACCTTTAGTGATGGCCAATATTTATATTTTCCCCTTTTCTCTGTCCTTGAAACACTGGGATTTAATTTGCTGAAGGTTAAGAGCTGCTCAGCACAACTGAATTTCCCGGGAACAGCATTGGTTAAAGAAATAATTACATTAATGCTAAAAACTTCACACAAACTGGCTGGTGTTGCCTTAGATTGTCCCCTTAAGATTAATATGTATATGGGGTTTTTTTGGTTTTGATTTTTTTTACTTGAATCTCACCTTGGTTTATCAGGTCTGACAGAAGCTAAGAGCACCTTACCTCACAATGGGCAATGTGTGTTATGTAGTTAGGTGACGCGTAGCTAGTATGTCAGTAAATACTATTGGAAGGCCCCTGAGACACGTAATTACATATTCTGATAAGCGGCTGAATAGCAAACAGGAAACAAAACGTGGCATAAATGTGGCTGGGCTGAAGCATGCACGTATGGAGGGGGGGTCACTTTTCATCTGCATGAGCAAACTTGGATTTTAGCCTTCCCAATATAAGCACCTGATGTTTCAGCCTGAGTGTTCTTCCCACACAGCTGGGTTTGTGTGCTGGCGTGGTCCAATGCACATTTTGATAGACGTTTTTGGAAGGTTGCATCACCTTTGCGGTGAGGTACCAGCTGGAGTGAGATCAGTCATCCTAATGCACAGTTCCTCTTTATGGATCTGCCTTTAAAGATGCAAGCTGCGAGCACGAGCGGCTCAGAGCTGCTGCTGAGCAGCTTTAAGTCAATGCTCTTCCCTGCTGCACAGTACAGTGTTAAAAAAAAATAAAATCCATTTATATAGAAACCTCTGTGCAAACCACTAGCGAGAAGTTGTGGAGCATGTTGCACAGCTGGTGAATGAGACTGGAAATTCGTTTCCTGGTTCTTGCACTTCAGGTGTATAATCTCTAAAGTAAAAACTGGATATACATGAATATATATATAAGTAAAAGAGATCTGTTGGGGACAGGTAATAAAATATAACAGACTGCTTTGAGATATTTGCTCTGCTTTTGTTAGATAGGTGCAGTCGGATTTCACTAATTTTATGGTTGTGCCTGAGACAGTTGGTAAAGAATCACTCCAAAATCCCAACAATGATACACACTACAAAAATTGCAGCTCGTTGCAGTTCTGATATTTTTACTAACTAAAAAGCCATAATACCATTCAAATTACAATTTATTCTCAGCTTGCAGTGGCATGCTTGCATTACAGACATTTTTAGGCCTTCAGCTGTACGTTTAAATAATGTGCAGCTACAAATTCTTGGGAACACTGATTTCTCAGAAACGTTATGGCCAATGAAAACCTGTAAGAGTTAAAAAGAAAAACAACAAACCTTGAAAGAGGAAGTTGGACAGGAAGAGTTGGTTTCTGCTGCTGTCTGGGCTGTCAGGAGGGAGAGAGGCCTCAACTTCTTTCCAACTAGTTTTTACTTTTCTCCAAACCTTCAGAAATGCACCATTTTCTAAGATGAACCATAAAATAACACACATCTGAACCTACTAATGACAACGGCTCGTTTTGAAAATGGTGTAAACAGTTATGTAAAAAAAACCCTGATAATAAAGGATGTTTGGAGTGGTAGCGGTAGGGGATACTGATGGGAGTTTGTGAATTCACCCAAGTCAGGTGTATACTTTGTCTTATTCAGGGATTAGTCAGTGAATCTCTTGAAATCAGCAGCATGCCGACCGATTCGTGTTTTTGAGGTATAAAACATGCTGTGTGTCTGTTAATTAGAAAAAACAAAAAAGCTCATTTTCTTCATTTTGGTAAAGAGTTTCTGGGAAATGACGACAAAAAAAATTAGCATGAGTAATTTCTCTTTTTCCTTGACTTGCGCAGTTATTAGGCTGTGCTCTACCACCAACAGCGTTTCATTGTGTAGACAGTAAGAGCTGTGTTTGAAAGGGGTAGCAGACAGGGAATATTGTGACCTGTAGAGCAGGAGGAGCGCAAACACGTGAAACCTTTCTGTCTGGGATATCTTCTGCAGCACTTTGTTTACTGAAGTACTACAATAGCAACACCGAGGTACGTTAAAATTCACTTTTTCTGTATCCTGAACATCACAGCGGGTATGATTTACCACCCTCTGCCTTTTAAATGGGTGGTCTCTTATTGATTTGTGACTTCTAAAATATTAATCCCATCCTCTCTTGCCTGTATATTTTTTTTTTTTGTTTTAGTTTTTTTTTAGCAGTGGAAGCTAGTAGGGCAAGATGAAAGCAGTAGTAAAGTAGCTAAAATCATCTTCAAGGAAGTTAGCAGCAGTCGACCCGCCCTCCCCCTTTTGCTCAACTCCTCTCTGACTGCCATCCCCCCCCCGGGCCGGCCGTGCGGGCAGCGCTTGGCCATCGCAATGGGCTGATGCTGGTGGGGAACAGCTCTCCTGCCCCTGGGGGAAGGATGTCGATAAAATGGAATAAATTTTCCGAAGTACCTCAGATAACAGTGAAGCTAGTAGGACTTAAGCAATGGGAGGTAAGAGCTTTGTGGTGATTTCGGAGCGGGATCTGCTGCTGCTGCAGCACACGGGCTGTTAATCTGGGGCCATGCCACCGAGTTGCGGTCCGCGTTGTGTCCGTTGGTGCACGTCGGTGCAGGTTCAGCTCTGCTTCAGGCCGTGCTGCCAGCTCCGATAGCGCAGGAAAACGGTTTTGTTTTTAGAAGCCTTTTATTAAAAAACCCCTTCCAGTAACTGTCGCAGCAAAAAAAAATTTAAAGTCATGTTATGGGACCTTGTATTTCAGCAGTATGGCTGGCCTCCCGTGTATCAAGTTTGCTGTTTCCTCCTTGAAAGTGGTGCACCCGTTTCCTGTTTTTCCTGGGGTGGTTCAGCTTTAATTAAAATGTTTTTTACAGTGATTTTATGAAGACAGGGTATTATTCCAGACTCTAGAGTTACTAAAAACATCAGGTACGTTTAAAGTACAGGACCCTGAATCTTCTTTCAGCGATTTAAGCATGAGAGTCACAAGATCTGCCTTGAGCATAGGGTGATCTTTTCTCCTAGAGCTTCACAAGTCCTGGCCATGGAGCAAAACTCCAAGTGTCAGCTTGGTACCATCAGCCAAGGACTAAACTGCAGAGCTTTAGTTCTTGAATCCTCCTAGGCTGGGCATGGTTAAAGATGGGCAGGTCAACAGATGGAGAACGGAGCTGTGGAGGCTTACGTGGGAGGGGGTGGGTGATTCGAGCTCATGAATCCTCCAGGAAGCGGAGATGTGCCACAAAGCAGACTCTGCTTGGCAGGTTTTCTGCTTCAGACAGGATTATTCCATCTGGTAGTGCTCTTGGTTTTGCTGATCTGCAGAACAAAATAGCCTTTGGGGCCAGCAAACAGACTTTCTGTTTATGAGGCTTTGCGGGGAGAGACTCTGACACTGGCGTTTTGCCTGGGATGTGTTGGGAGAGGGGAGACCTTAGGCTGAGTTACTAATTATTGGAGTGTGTCATCAGAAGCTCAAGAGTTTCCCTTCTTGTGACTGCAGAGCTCAATACCTCTTTTAACCGCTTCATGGCAGTTGCTGACATGGGCTGCTCTGCAGCTTTCTGATATTTAGGCTCTGACGATATTTAGCAAAGGGCACGTGGCATATAAATAACAACATGCAGAGGTAAGCATACAGAAGCCTTTACCAATTCCTGGTTAAGCTGCTCTTTCAGATGCCATGAAATCTGCAGTAACAGTTAAAATACAGATCTGGAGCTGAATTGTGTGGTACAGAATTTGTCGGGTGGCACATAGAAAGACAAGGAATCGCTATAATTCAAATTTGGAGTTTTTCTGTGGAGTTTCCTTTAAAAATTGTTTGGGAGAATTCCAAATCCACAAAAGGCTGCAGGGAAAAATGTTTCAAATTTTTAGTATTTAGCAATTTGCTCTCTCAGGTAGTGGTAGAAAGGTAAGTAAAAACTCTGCTAAAAGTTGGAGAAGCTGGCTGTGCTTGTCACATTTCCAACGCTGAGTAGCCCACAGGTTAAACCGTGGCTTCCGGAAGACGAAGTAATCTTTTATGGTGTTGCTGTTGTTCCGCAGCCTCTCTGTGATGCCATATTTTGAGAGTTTGTGAAAGATCCATTTCCCCAAAAAGCTTCACGTAGTTACTTGAGATTGCATGAAACTGTTGAACAAGTTGCTAGTCAGAAGGAAAACGGAGGTGGAAATATCCTGGCAGTGATGCTGTACTGGCACCGGGGAAGAGCTTATGTTCTCCATTAAAAATGCAGTGGCAAAGCATGAGTCTGACAGGTTGGCCTTAAAAAGGAATGAAGCTGGACGTTTGAGACACGTTACATGTGGTGTTTGTATTTAACACAATCCATTGAAAGTGCTGAAGAGATTGATTAGAGCCCAGAAGAAAAGCGGCAAGTCATTAAAGCAAGCAAACAGAAAACAAAGGTGGAAGAAAATAGCTGCTTTCAGAACAAACTCAGTGTCATCTCCGCTGGTGAGGTACCTGCGCAGGAGGCTCTGCGAGTCAATAGTATGTTAATCCACATCTATTGGAGGCTGTAGCTCATTTTTTGTAACAGAGTTATGCAGACACATGACTGTTGTTAAGGTACGCGCCGATCGATATCGTCAGAGTGCCAAAGGCAAACACTGAAGAATCTGTAACTAGAGCATACACCTCTGCAAAGTATTGAGGCATTTGTTCATTTTCTTCCTGCAGGAAAAAGAGAAAGATAAGGAGAAGACTAAAGAGAAGGACAAAGAATGCAAGGAGAAGGAAAAGGATAAGAAGCTGTTAAACGGACATCTCTTCAGTGCGACCTCCGTTGTAGCCCAAGCAACCTGTTACCACTGTATGAAACCTTTCAACAAGGATTCGTACTACTGTGCAAGTAAGTTGGGGGGGTGCTTCCCCCTTCCTTTTGTTTTTTGTTAAATCTGACATGGGAAATGTGAACCTTATGCTTTATTTTCCTCTTGCTTAAGGCTGTGGGGTGGGATGGAGACTTGGGAGATAGTGATTCATGGAGCAGCGTGTTTCCTGATGGAAGTTGGGCTGGAACGAGTCGTGGCTGTAAGGAGGTGTCCTGCAACCTCCCTCACAGCCGGTGCTCGGACGTCGCAGCATCCCATGGGGTTTTCTGCCCTTGCTTGTTGAGATGTGTCACTCAGCTGGAGGACTTCGGTCATTTCAGCTGCGTGTTGTGCCTTGGGGCCGAGGTGCTTGGTTAAGATGAAGGGAGGATGGGGAAAGCTCGCTTGGATCGAGGCTTTTGTTTCCAATGGGGGAAAAAATGTCCCACCCATCTGTAGTGTGTATTGCTTTAGTTCTCTGAAACACTGCTTCGGTGAGCCCTCAGTGAGAACAGCGTGATACAAAAAGGAAATACTAACACTCTTCTCCCTTTATACGTGAATTCGCATCACCGGTCGAATGGCAGCTACCTGCGTGCATGCGAAGTACGTGCAGCACAGCGCAGGCAGTACGGGAACCACAGCAGCGGGTTGCTGCGAGATCGGTGATTCTGTTCTCTTTTCTTATCAGACGGTTTCTCATGCCCGTAGCTCGATAAGGTCAGCACCATTTGTGTGGTTAAGACCAGAATGGTGGCCGGTTTACGCAGTGACCCAAAGCTATGAAATACACAGACAAAAATGTCTTTTTCCCACTGCAGCTCAGGGCTTTCCGTTCCTCACTATTAGTAATATTTTATACGCCACTAGCCTAGAAGAGATGAGTCAAAGCGTGTACAGGAATCGCTCCCAGGCTGGAGCAGGAGGCTCTGTCTGTGTCTGCTGCTAGATGAGCAGTGTAGAAAACGTCTCCGGTGAGCAGGGGAAGGAGCAGCCAGCTGAATCCCGAATGGCGGTTTTGAGTTTCCTGGAAGGGAAGAAATTTCAGCGAAGTTGTTTGCATCAGACATGCTCTGTGTCAGCCTGATGGGAAATGGAAAATGTCAACAATTATAAGCTCTCAAATGCATCTTCTCCCTTTCCCCACTCGACTTGCTTAACAGCTTCTGGAGCCACTTAGAAAATCAAATATATGCCAGTTTAACTCTCTATATCCGAAGGAGTTAGAATAATCCAGCAATGTCCTCTCTTTTAGCATAGATGTTCTTTCCTCGTTTTTCAAGGTATAACAGAAAAATTTTGGAAGTTTTCTGCATCAGTCAGGGATTGAAAGCCACAAGGAAAGTTTGGTCAGGGCCCAGGTTGTAAGCTCACATCCGAGAGTGGTCCTTTCTCCCGTCATGCCTTAAAATCAGCTGTCGAATGCCTTGGAGATGACGGACAACCAGCAGCAGAGGCTGGTTGGTTCCTGTGCTGGCGTAGACTACTTTTTTCCTACGGAAGTGGCAGTGCTTTACTGCTACCATCACTGATCTGTCTTGCCTGTGGATGACCTTTTCTTGATGCCTTTTAAAGCACCGGATCATTTTAAATCAATGTCTCAACTTTTCAATGATGCCCCCAGCTTCCTGAAACAGCTAGGCAGTGCTGAGAGACTTAGCATGCTCTGAAACAAACAGGCAAGCCAAAAATCCTAATTTTTAGTTGCTGGTCTTTTTTTTTGTGATCAGTGATGCAGAAAAGAAGCTTTTTGGGATTTTAATTGTTAATACTAGTGAGAAAGAGGAGTTGGAGGAATAAAGTCCCTGAAACAGATTTTTGATCTAAAAAATCAAAAGTGGTACATACTAAGGAGCTACCTTCAGGCTTTCAAGGCTGGAGTGCGAATTTAATGGTTCTAAATTGTCTCACCACCTCTTTTCATGCACCAGAAGCAGGTTCTGTCCCTCTACTTTGATCTAAACAATGATATTGCTTGTGGGTTTTTGCAAGAACACGCAGGCTTCTTTCTTCTGTCTCTCTTGCACAGGAAACTGTGGGACATTGACAGTATAGCAACGCCCTGTGGCCTTACCCTTACCTCTCTCAAAATATCAGAAGAATTACTGGCTTTTATTAAGTAGGCTTTTATTCACTAAGAAATTTCAGGAATGTGAGCATATTTTGTCATTCTGGGCGTGGAATTTTTTTCCTTTCATATTTCTGCTAGAAATAATTCAGAACTGTATGCTTACAGTGTAATGTACACTTAAAATATAGCTCATGATCTGTGTTAATGTGTGTTTTCACGAATGAGTGGAAATAACAGTTTTTCTCTAAGCTACCGAATCTCATCTGAAAGCATTTCAGTTGTGATCTTTCACCTCTCGGAAGAGTTAATACTCCAAAGCCAATTATCAATTATTATGAAAAAAACAGTTTTAATCATCTTTGAAAGACTTTGATCCCCAGAAATCTGCTGGCAGAGATCATGAGCAGACTCAGGGTATGCCGAAAAAGACACGCAGCTTTCGCTCTGGCATATATGCAGCAAAGGGTGGTGTTAAAGCGTGATGCCCTCTGCGTTGGTAAATATTGTGGGTTTGGACCAAAACGGTGGCTTCGGTCTAGTTTTCAGCCGGAATTCCCAACCTGACGGCCGTGGTCACCTAGCAGACACTCCTGTTACTTTTTCTGATAATCCTGTAGTACAGTGGCACTTGGTGCCTGTACTGTAGATCTTGGCTATGATATGTCTCAGTTTATGTAAATGAATTTTCCTGTCCTTTTCCTGTCTTTTGGATCCCATAATTCTTGTCTCGATAAGAACACTATTTGTGTTTTCAGAGAAGATACTAGCCCTGCAGCTGGTTTCTGTTTGTCTCCTGCAGCTGCTTTCCACCTTACATTTCTGTCAGAGGAAGAACTCCCATCTTTTTTTCTTTTTTTTTTTTCTGTAATTTAAGACCCATTAGGACACTGGCAAATCAACCTTGCATTGATTTTTAAACAGAATTTCCTGCTAAATTCCATGAGGAAATCTTGTTAACAAACAAAGGGGTAACAACCTGGGAAAGCAGCCTGTCTCCGTATCTGTACTACACATGTAAACCACAGTGATGCCTGAAAGTTGTAATGCTCAGTTGTGCAAGATAACAGTTCAGATTACAAACAGCAAAAACTGACCTGATCTCTGTGGGTTCTTTGTTTAATTGGTTGGGTTTTTTTTACTTTTCACAGACTGCAGTGCAATTGTTCACAAAGGCTGTAAGGAGAGTTTTGCTTCTTGTGCAAAGGTCAAAATGAAGGTAAGAGATTTTGTCTACTGAATGAACAAAAAAGTTTAAATAATTTAGCATGCAGGTATGTAACATCTTCAACTGTACGTCCCAAAGTTTCCAACTTGTTGGAAAGCACCTCAGCCTATAGTGAATAATTTCTCTGGGTGCTCCTGAAATTCCCCAGAACCACCTGTTAATACCGTAGCTGTCCCTGGGACGCTGTGAACGCTCCAGGCCAGCGCCACAGGGTGTGTGTTGACAGCTAATCCCCTGCGTTGTTCCCTGCAGTACACAGGGACCTTATGGTGAGATGGTCTGTCCTATGCTTCGATTATAAAAAAAAATAAAACACTTCCTGGCCAAATTCAGGGGTGTGCAGCACCCTTAGATGCCATATCTCTTAGTTCTCAAATGCTGCATCAGTAATGCAGTGTCATGGGTGTATAATGCATAATGAAAACTGTTAAATACGGATGTTGTTTATATGAGGAAAGCGTACAATTGTGATTTTCAGATCTGTTCAGTATTGTCAGCACCTTCTCTTCTCGTTTTCCCATTTGCTGCACATCTTTCCATCTGTTACTTTGCCCATTTCATTGATGGCAACTGGGGGGGCTGTGCATGTGCATGTGCTGGCATGCATGTCTGTGTGTGTACATATCTATAAAATACACATACAGACAAGAACTGATATGTTCTGAGAGGATTCAGGAAAAACATAGATTTTTTTAGTTTTGTTTATATGGCACAGCTTGATGGGAGAAGGGAGGAAGAAATTACAACGAATTTCAATTTTCTTTCAGCCACAGAAAGGGATGTTGCAGGCACATGATACCTCTTCGTTACCCACAGTGACCATGAGAAACAAAAGTAAGAAAAATTCCTTTCCCTCTGCTCTGGTGATGGTCTGTATCTGCTGTTCGTAACTGTTCTGACAACTAATATTCGATATTATGAAAGATGAGCATTTATCAAAACAGGGATGAGAGCATCTTCTGTACAATGTTTGGGATTTCAGAAGCTGTAATGAAGTTGCACAGAGTTCATCCACTTCTGCAGTGTCCATGTAGCTTTAAGGAAATGTAAAGTCGTCTCAGATTTAGAATAACTACTTGACTGCTGTACCTTGCTGAAGGGCTACAGCTAGTAAGTCCACAAAATCTGGAAGATGCAGCCTATGTCCATGGGTATCTGACATTGGAAAGAATCCAACTATGAGTATTATATGAACAGAAATTGTTTTGATTAGAAGCGGAGAGGATGTTTGTTTGAAATACATATATATTTTTTAATTAAATAGTCTTATGCTTTGAGATAGTAAAAACAGAAAGTTTAATTTTGAATAGGAGCAATACTAACAAACTCCTCCTGGCCGTGCTGAAATACGCACTGCACTGCCGAGCTAACCACTGTGACTGAGGGCAAAGAATAGGAATGAAATAGCCCACGTGGTTTTTGTAGTGCCATGGTTTGATAAGCTAATTTAGAGGTAGCTTGGAGATCACTATATGGAACCACATGGTATGATACAGGTGTATCCACTGTGGTATTTGTCATGAAATTCAGAGGTAGCGTTCCAGAAAGCAGAAATGCGTCTGAACAAGGGAAAAATCGGTAATTACTATTAAAAGATTAGTTAAAGGTATGTGGTAGTATAATGAGACAGGGATTAGCGTTTCTCAGTGGTACGTACTGGTAGAGAAACCTTTTTCAAAAAAGTGTGACCAGAAGCAGGGACATGTGTATAATTAATTACAGGCCCAGGGAAATTAAAAAGCAACATAGTAGGAGCAACATAGACCTGCTGGAGCGGGTCCAGAGGAGGCCACAGCAACCAAGCGAGGGCTGGGTCACCTCTGCTGTGAGGAAAGGCTGAGAGAGTTGGAATTGTTCAGCCTGGAGAAGAGAAGGGTCCGGGGAGACCTTACTGCAGCCTTTCAGTACTTGAAGGGGGCCTACAAGAAAGATAGGGACAAACTTTTTAGCAGGGTCTGTTGCGACAGGACAAGGGGTAATGGTTTTAAACTAAAAGAGGGTAGATTTAGAATGGATATAATGAAGAAATTTTTCACAGTGAGGGTGGTGAAGCACTGACACAGGTTGCCCAGAGAGGCAGTTGATGCCCCATTCCTGGAAACATTAAAGGTCAAGTTGGACGGAGCTCTGAACAACCTGATCTGGTTGAAGATGTCCCTGCTCGTTGCAGGGGGGTTGGGCTAGATGACCTCTAAAGGTCCCTTCCAACCCAAACTGTTCTGTGATTCTAGATTACTGCATGTGATTATTTATCAAATAATATTAAATTCAGTTTCCCCAGTGTATGTTTCTGGACTTGCAGATCCCACCCAGATCTTTGAAGCGTAGTGCAATGCAGTCTGTTCTGCACAGGGGTCGGTGTTATTTCCTTCGTACAGCTGTTCCTAACTAGTCCTGGTGAGGACTCTAGGAAGAAAGGGAAGTGAATCTTAGAGCCTGGGGTCTTTAAGTCATCGTCATTGCAGTTGACAGCGCAGTTGCATGTGCTGACGTCTCTCTGACCCTTGCTTTCCAGCCTCACAACCGAAGGAGCGCCCTCGCTCTGCAATACTTGCGCCTGATGAAAGCACCGTAACCTCAATATTCAATAACAGGAGATCCCAACAGACTACAGTACTTTCAAAAAGTGTCTCAATACAGAACATTGCTGGGTAAGGTTTCTCTCTGCACGTCTGAGTATGTGTGTGTTATCTGGCGCTGCGAGCGTAGAGAAATTCAGATCTCAGTAAAAATAAATTCATATACTGTGATTTGTATTAAAGGTACAAAAGAGGATCACAAAACCAGAGATACCCATATTATATATGATATCATCAGTTGTCTTCCACACAATCAGATTGTCTGGGTTACTTTAGTCATGGCATGGGTTCAGAGGTGTCTGAGTTGGCCCGGTTATATTCAAGGCTGCTTCATAGCGATGATCTGGGCTCCAGCAGGAAATTCCCTTGCCTCGGGCTGGGTACTGTGCAAGCTCACGTTTGCAGCTCAGGTATGGTATTAACTTTTGTGTCCATAACGATAGGGTGGAGGCACAGAGCTGCAGTCTTCATGGTGTTTTAGGACTGCCTCGTACATAATTCATTATAAAACAATCATAGAAGAAAATCTAATCTGTGGTTCCTACACTACCTGCATATTGAGCATTTCTACACACAGGGCAATAGCATGGACTGGCATGTTCTGGACAGTTTGTATGCCTCAGCTACTCATGGCAAAATTTCCTTCAGTCCATTTTTCTGATCTGTCTCAGAGATAGCAATAAAAAGACTCTTGGATAGCCTTTTGTGTTGCATTTTTTCACTGCTTGCACCAAGCACAATGGGGATGGAAGTGACTGTAAAGTGGAAAGTAATGAAAAGGAATTATCCAAACCCTGAAACCTCAGGTGTGATTCTTTATACAAGCAGCACCATCACTCAGAACTGTAGATCTTACAGCTTGTTGAGCCTCAATGGGTAGTTGTTAGAAAACAATTAATAGAAGTACATTTCTGTACATAAACATGCAATGCTTGCCTTGGTTTTTGATTCATATTTTAAAGGCATTTCTGTTTTGTATTTGAAAGTACATTTGTCTGGTTTTTAATGTCATAAATGATATTCTATGTTCTGTTTCTCTGCAGAGTTGGGAACGATGACAGCTTGATACACACTTGGAAATTCCTGTCGCAGTCAACAGACTCCTTACATAAAATCAGCCGGGTGAATGAATCCATGGAATCACTGGTTGATGAAGGTAAGAGATCCCCATGGCATTTATAGCAACAGGAAGGTCTCAGTGCCGCTGTCCAGAAACAGAAAATCTGTTTTGGCATTTCAGCAAGTGTTTTCCTTTCCAGTGGACAATTAAAGTGCATTTTATTTGATCTTAGAATATTAGTATGATGATCTTAGAATATTAGTATGATAAACTAAAACAAAGTCCCACATAGTAATTTCTTTAGCTTGTTGAATTGTGGGAAAACATTCAAAAGGTTTCAGTTACAGTTGCGTTACTTGGAATTCAGCTCAGGAACAAGCATTTCCTCTTTCGTTCTGCACCTCTGGCCCATTCATACAGCCACGGATTTTGCAGTCTGTCACCTTTTTCATGCTAGTGTCTTGCATTTTGTATTTTTCCCAGAGTGAGGAAGGAAGGAAATGTATTGTTCCGTTTTGTGGGTTTGAAACTGAAGTCAGATAAATTAATTTCTTAAGTTTAAATATTTTTTTATATGGTGCTTTTTTAATATATAATCATTATACTTACCCAATATTTACTTGGAAAGAGTGGAATGGCCTTAATTGATTAAGGACAAACCAAGGGCATGTTCATGCTGACAAGAGAAAATTTCCCAGTTCCTGCACAAATGAGCAATCTTTCTTAAAGATACATATGTGTGTGTGCAGTGTGTGTGGTGTTTGCTTCTACCTGCATCAGTTCTAGCTTTCTAAGCTTGAAAACACGGACTTCACATAGATCCAATTTCTCTTGATTCAGTGATGTAAATGAAGACAAACTGGATGTTGTGGGGTTTTTGTTTATCTGCAATGTTGTTCCATTGCCGATGAAGAATCCCTTGTCTTTTACCTGAGCTAGAATTTGGTCTGTGTGAAAAATGTGAACTAGTTTTGTGCAACAAGCAAATAACCTTTAAAAGTACTTTTCATAAGCTGGTCCTTACACGGTGTAATTCCATACAATCATTTCTTTGGCAGTAAAGGAGAATGTGTGTGATGTCTGTGGTATGACAAAGAAAGCCTAAACCTAAATGAATAGACAGGAATCTCAAATGGGACAAGTTACCCATGTCTTCATGGCACTTACTTTGCTTTGTGAAGGTGCGGACATGAATGAAGGACAGCTGATGGGAGACCTGGAATTAGATTCCAAGCAGCTGGAGGCAGAGTCCTGGAGCCAAGTAGTGGACAGCACGTTCCTACAGCAGCAAAACAAAGATGTTGTCAAACGGCAAGATGTCATTTATGGTGAGAGATGCCTGCATTTTAATTTTTCACGCATCATAGATAGCTTCTTGATATACTCATATATGGATGTGGGAAGCTTTAGGTCAGTGAATAGGAACTTTGACTTGGTTTCCTCAGAACCCAAAGTTTCATTATGAAGTTCCTAGAAACATAATGTATTCTGCGAAAGCTTTCTTTCTGCCTGTCGCATGTTCGGAAGCCATCAAAAAAACCAGAAATTGTCTCTCCTCGTTTGCCTGCTGATGACACTTAAAGTCCGTTACAGCAGAGTAGCTAGCTAGGAAGTCTTCTCCTGCCGTATGCAAGAGCCGTCCTGCATGGCAAAAGCACACTGTGTTGGGGCAGGCAGGGAGGTGTTAGGAAAGAGCCGATAACAGTGCTGAAGGTTCAGACTTCAGCAGAAATGTCCAAATCTCGTTATTGTTGGACTTCTCTGCCCCCCTGCTTCTCCCACACATGAAAATATTGGTTAATGTTTCAATACCTGACATGAAACTTTCTGAAGCCACTTAGAGAAGCCCATTTATGGAAGAGCTTTCCAGTGGCAGCTTTTCCTTATACTGTACACCCATGTACTCTACAGTGACCTTGATTTTGACCTTGTCCTCATCCTATACAGAGCTGATGCAGACGGAAATGCATCATGTCCACACCCTGAAGATCATGAACGATGTATACAGTGCAGGGATGTTAAAGGAACTGCAATATGATCAACAAGTCGTGGACAAGATCTTTCCCTGCCTGGAAAACTTGCTGCACATCCACAGTCACTTCTTCCAGAGGATTCTGGAAAGGAAGAAGGAGTCATTGGCAGACAAAAGTGAAAAGAACTTTGTTATCAAGAGGATAGGTGACATCCTGGTGAATCAAGTAAGCACTGGAAAATGCTTGCACTTTTGAGAGCACAGCTGGAAACCAGGCACTCCTCCTCCCCTCCTGTTTATGCCTGTTAGATAATTGCAGCTGACAGCACCTTTACTTTTCACACAAGTAAAAATATCCACCTCTGCTTTTGAAAGCACTTTTTGCTCTTTCAGAGAAAGGTTTAATGATGAAAATTAATTTAGTTTATTTGGGGGGAAAGAGAAGCATTCCCTGACAGGCACAGAGTGGTTTGACCGTAGCCTGGAGGGTAGGCAGTAGTCCACAGCAAAACATGCCCAGTGTGTTTCTTGGCCAAGTTACTGACCTGCTATTTAATTTAGGGTGCGTCATTTTACTTTTCTTTATCTGCGCTTGCTTCCTTCTTTTTGCCTGTCTTGGCTATTTTGTCATTGGCTTTTAAGCCATGTGAGTAGAATCCCAAATTTTGCGGAAAGTGTGAACTCAGTGAAGTCCCAAACTGAGCTCTTTACTTTCTAGAGATCTGCTTGCTTGGTTTAGGGTGCTTTGGACTCATTTGGTTTCATCAAGTTCTTTTGAGAGACTGGCACGCAGTGTTGGGATATCACACCAGGAGCTCAGGGTAAATGGCAAATTCTGCGGACATCACAATGAGGCAGTAAATAACTTCAAAGATCTGTACTCGAAGGACAAGCGCTTCCAGGCATTTGTCAAGGTAGGACCTGGTAGAACAGACATAGTTGACGGAAAAAGTATGTCCTTCCTGCACTCTTGTGAGTGTTGCTATGGAACTGAAATTTTCATCTTTGTTCCTTAGAAAAAAATGAGCAGCTCCCTGGTGAGACGTCTTGGGATTTCTGAATGTATCTTGTTGGTAACACAGAGAATCACAAAGTACCCGGTTCTTTTACAAAGGATACTGCAGTACACCAAAGGTAGGGACTAGTTCCTCTATTCTAAGCGTGTATTTGTTCCTCCACTGTAAATTTCTTGGATCCCTTTCAGCTGAAGCAGATTTTGTTAGAATAGAGAGACTAATCCAGTCATCATGTTCTCACACTGTTGTAACGATATAACTCAGTTTCATCTCTCCATTTAAGATTAGTTATTCAAGTGTCTTGATTTAATTGTCGTAAGTCTGTCTATAGCTAATTATGGAGCAACACGCTTAGACTCCAAAGTCTTCCAGCTTGCTTTTTTTTGGTAATGGCTAAAATATGTGATTAATTTGTGCATTTCATGTATACTGTCTCATATACAAAGTGTATTGGAATAGTCCCCAACTTCAAGAATACATGTGAAAGGTTTTGTGAAACTCTCCTCAAGGGGGGAAAATGCGGCCTACCTCATGAAAGTATTAAAAAGTTATAATGAGGGAATTTGGGTGGGAGAAGAGGAAGGAAGGAAGGAAAATCAAAAGAGTCCACAAGGATGAAGTGAAATCAAAGTGTTTCTTTTTCTGTTCAAAGAAAATGAAGTGGAACATGAAGACTTGACTCAGTCATTAAACCTCGTTAAAGATGTAATTGCTGCAGTGAATAGCAAAGTCAGCAATTATGAAAAGAAAATGCGTCTTGGTGAGATTTACAACCGGACGGATAGCAAGTCCATCATGAGGATGAAGAGTGGCCAGATGTTTGCAAGAGAGGACTTGAGGCATCGGAAGCTCATCCGAGATGGGCCTGTTTCACTAAAAAATGCAGCTGGACGGTTAAAAGGTAAGACCTATCCCTCTTTCTGCCAGGGAAGGATACAGCTCGCTCTCTCTGGATGTAGGATTAGTCCTCAGATTGGTGTCTCCAGCCTCTGTTTATTATTCTGCTTTGAGAGACTGTGACAGCAGCTTTCCCCGTGCTGTACACTCGCTTCCCATCACAGCATTTCCGATTGCTCATGTTGTTTCTGGGGTGATAAACAGCTGCTCTTCCTCCTGGCGACTGCGTGCCTGCTGAAGGCTTGGGCTGCAGTGACACCTCGGTGTGTCAGCCAGGGAGCGGAGTTGCTGGGGATGGATCCTTTGGGCCGGGAGGACGCGATGGTGCTGCAGCTGCCCAGAGCAGTGAGTCAGATCTCTGTGCCGTGATGCGCATGTGTAGTGGTTCCAGGAAGCGTGCTCGCTGCATCTGAAACCCAACCTCAGCTTCCCGGTGGCTCTGCCCACCAGCAGCACTGCCTTTCCTTTGCTCTGAGGTCTGCACCAGGACTGCTCGAGGCTCAGCGTTATCACCCAGCTTTCACTGGGACTCCGGAGAGGTGTCCCAGACATTTGTTGCTCTTGAACCTCTTGAACTGCTGATGCAAACTGTTCAGGAGAGGCTCTGAGGTCCCTGCAGCTGCCTCATGTTTGGTCAGTGTTTTCTTGAATTGCTTTTTGTTGCTTATCAGGTGGAAATAGTTTTTCTAAGGTGCTGTTCTCTACTGAATTAAACACTGAATCTCCCAAGGAAGCCTTCAGCTGGGACCACGGTAGCACCAAGAGCAGACAGGGCTGTTCCTCAGGCATGGCAGGAAGTCTGGGCTTTGCTTCTCTCACTCCAGCATCAGCTGATTAAACCACAGTACTGGAGCATGAATGGGGACCGGCAGCCTGGTGCCGTGCTGTGCAGGGAGGCAGAGAGAACACGAAATTCCGTACCAGCTATGAAACACATTGAGGTTTTGGAAACAAGAAGTTTACAGATGGTTTCTAGGCACCCGAGTTTACTAGTGACTTTAGATGATGGATGAAGCAAGTTATGCTGCTGTTGTGAAATCTTGTGATAAATACAGGCTGCATTTGGATTTCTGAGTCATAGAAGTGCATAAACATACCTCTGTAATGCAAGCTCCCAGCGAAAGCAGGTCCTGCAGACAAGCTGCAGAGCCCAGGGAGAGAGTAGCTAGTTCATATGTTCAGGCTGTTTTGCGGGATTTGAAATGAACACAGAGAAGTATAGGAAACACTCTTCTCGGAGGGTTTTAGCAAACCCTCTAAAAACTCTTGCAAAGTGCACAGATGATAGAGAAGAATGGAGTCAAATGCTGAGTTTTGCAAACCTCCCAGAGCTTTGAGTTCATTTTGCAGCTTTGATTAAAGTTTGGTGGTTCTTTTATCTGGAGCTGATCCTGTCCTCCCAAAACAAAATGGAAGGAATTACCCACAGGATGATTTAACTTTTTGGTTTGCTTCCTCTCTGTCACAAGATTTCCCAAGTACATTACACAAAAACTCTTTGTACTGAGGGCTCTGGGTGGAGCATTGTGCTTGGTAGTTGCTACGATATGTCATTAGGAGACTTGGAAGGCTGCATGTGTACTCTGGGAAAAGGCTGTATTCCGATTTGAAATCCTCTGTTGGCTTGATGTTGTGCTTCCTGCTCCTGTGAAAGCAAGCCAGGTCCTGTATCTCACGCAGGCTCTGTCGGCTCCCCTTGGAGCCGGCAAGAGTTGTGTTTGTGTGTGAGCAGAATTGGTGGTGGCTCCTGAAGTCAGTCTTTCCTGGGAAAGAAGCTGCTGCTGACAAATGTTGTTATTGCATGATAATTTACACTCCACAAAGCACTCATCAAGAGAACCATAAAACCCAAAACTTCCTGTGCAGCTATTTTGCTCGAGGACTAAAATATTGATAGTTTGAGAAAACAGTGCTTCTATTCAGTAAGTGTCTCTAGCTTTCACTGTTTTACCCATGTCCTGACTGTAATAAAGCATGTGGCTGGAGAGGAGCACCCCTGCTCCAACAGACGAGAGAAAGTCCTGTAGGTTTCCCAGGTGCTGTTCTGTTCTTCTTAGCACAAAGTCAGTTCAGAGCTAACCTGACTCGGCGTCTCCAGGAGCCACCCCTGCTGCTCCTGCTAACTGGGAGGTTGACCCTGCTTCCAGGATTTGCAATAACAGCCTTACCGCTCCCCAGCACTGGTGTTATTAAAAGAAATGTGTTTCAGGGTCAGTCGTATGGTTATAACGCCCTGCTATGCTTTTTCTTTTGCAGAAGTCCAGGCTGTTCTCCTCTCTGACATGCTCGTATTCCTTCAGGAAAAGGACCAGAAGTATGTCTTTGCCTCACTGGTAAGGCTTCACCCTTTTCTGCTCCTTCCTTTTCTATGTGAGAAGCCCTTGATGTGTGTTGTGCAGCGAAGCCAGCCATTGCCTGCTAAACAACTCAATTTTCTTGCTTATAACATTTTCGTTTGCTGAGCAGACTCCATTCTTTTTGATAGGAAAGCATGCCTTCATGCCTCACCTCCCCTTTCTGCAGTGCCTTGGCACAGCTGATAATGGGCCTTGAAAACCTGCCTGTCACTGGATACACTTGCTCCTTTTCAGTTTGTGCAAATCGAAGCAGTGATTGGGGTGGGAGGGGGCAACGGGATAATGCAAACATTGTAAAAATGAATCTTAGCAGAAGGAAACGTCCTAATACATTGTGAGCTGCTGGGGGGGGGAGGGAGGTGAAATGCCACTGCAGTAAATTCAGCTGAACAGCTTGAAACTAAATGTCAGAGGAATATATTTGTAATGCACAAGACCAAAAGCATTAGCTTTTGAAGGAAGGCCTCGTAAAAGGGCTAGGCACACTGACGTGCTAAAGAAAACCTAGTACCTAATCGAGTCTGGTGGGGCTGTAGCTTGCAGGCACGGTCTAGACTGGCTCAACCTTGTGACCTTTCCACTCCGTGAACATTTTGAAAGCTGATTAGGTGTTATTCCAGTTCCACCAGCGATCTGCACAGACTCGCTGCCCTGCGCAGGGGGAGCTGAGTTGCACACAAGTCCTCCTAGTGAACTGCTACCAAGTCACCCCACTTGTAGCGTCCTGTAAGATGCTCAGAGGGGCTGACTCACATGCAGATGACACAACAGCAAAGGGACGTTTTAACCGAGCAGGCTGATTACACAGAGACCATAGCACACAGTGAACGTCATCTTACCCACAAGTCCTGTCCATCACAGGAGTCAGCTGTGAGCTTCTGAGAACAACAGGAGCTCTGTGGGATTTGAAAATAAGATGTTACTCCATCCCAGAGAGAGATCGCAAAGATAGTGTTTGGGGGTAGGCGCTACCAACCTGCACTAAGATGAAGGAGCTGTGATATTAATGACAGTGTGGGCAGGAAGAGATGAGATCAAAGCTCTGTTGGAGTTAGAGCAAAATATGGTAGAGTTTGCAAAAACCACAAAGTCAATTTTAAATTAATTCTTTATTGAAATTCAACAAGGTGAAATTGCTTTTCCTGCATAACTGATGGAGAAAAGCAAGCACTTCCCTGTTCTTTGACCCCATTAAAATGATTTATTTTTTGAATTAGCCAATAGGTTCAGAAAATGTTTACAGCCTGAGAGAGGTGGTGGTATGGGTACTGGGACCTTTTCAGTCAACGCTAGTTTGCATCCGGGAACTAGTACTGTTCACCCTCCTCACCCATTTCTTTTCATCTGAAGGACCAGAAATCCACTGTGATCTCTCTGAAGAAGTTAATCGTACGAGAAGTGGCTCATGAAGAGAAGGGTTTGTTCCTGATCAGTATGGGTGTAAAAGATCCTGAAATGGTGGAAGTCCATGCCAGCTCCAAAGAAGAGCGCAACGGCTGGATACAGATCATTCAAGACACAATGAACACCATGTAAGCTACCGAGCTTGTTCTTGCAAGGCAGGTGATGCGCGTGGTCATGTTCTGGTAGTAACTGAAGCATGTGTCTCATTCAGGGACAAGGATGAAGACGAAGGAGTCCCTTGTGAGTCTGAGTTTGAAAAGAAAGTGTCGGATGCGAAAATGAGAGCGCTGAAAGGTAAAAATCTGCCTGGGACAGCTGGGGAGTGGTTTTTGAAAATTTTACTGTAATTATTGCGTTGGGTTTTGTGGTTGAACTATGACTTTTGTCAGAGGACTGAGAATCCTGCATCCAGCAAGTAACTGCAGTCTGTGTTTGCACCTCACCTTGCATTATTTTTTTCTGAGCCTGCTGGATGCCTGTGCTGTGCAGGACTACACAGAGCACGGTTGTATCCTGTGGTTCCACTAGATGGGGCCGATATCTCAGGAATCGCTCCATTTCCTTGCCGAAGCTTTTATTTTCCTTCTTCATGTATGTTTTCTGTTCACCCCCACAGAACAACTTCAGCAGAAGGATAAGCAGATCCTCCTCTTGCTGGAGGAGAAGGCTAAGATCTTCCGGGACATGGGAGACAGCTCTGTGCAAGAGGACATGCCAATTTCCAGGCTGCTGTTCAGAGCCAACACGGAAGAGGCACCAAAAGGAGAGGCCATTATGAAAACTGCAATAAATGAAAGTGAGCAAATCAGGGTGACACGTTAATTACACTAACCCACACACCCACCTTCAGTGAAGCCATCAGTCCTCAAGCACCAGTTTCACAGGGAAAGTCTTGTCTTTGTCAGAACGACAGCATAGATAAGGAGATACTGCTACTCATGCTGTTGTCTCAGGGACAGGTAATGAGGGTCAGAAAAGGAAGCCAATATTGCTGGCTGTTGAAAGACAACAGAAAATATGTCAGCACAGAGAAGAACCATGCATTAAATCTGCACTGGGGTCAGGAGCAGTCCAGGATTTATCCTTGGTTGAAACTTGGACCATCCAGGCTTTTGCTGTGCTTCAGTCTCAGCAAGGTGTGAGAGAGGGGCTCAGGTTCCAGCAGGCACTTGTGGTGCCTGCAAGGAATAAGCAGGTTTGTTGACAAATGCAAGGGTAGATGGAAACTCGGGCAGCTTTCCAGTGTGATTTTTGGAGAGGCTAAAAATTGTGAAATGCTATTGTCAGAGCACACCAGGTTTGCTTGGAGGAAGAGAGGGAGGTGTAAGCCTGTACAGAGCTCCGGGAATTGGAGTTAACGGCCAGACAGAGTGAGTTTTTGCAGGGAGAATGCATACCGTTCATATCATTGTCGTAGAAACATGGTTTCTTAGTACAGCATAGCATGTGAATTTCTGACCTGAGCTCAGGTAGGGGTGAAAATAGCTCAGAAGCCTGAGGTGGTCTTTAACAGCGATATCATTGTTTTTTATCAGTTGAACTGCTGCAAGACCTGGTGAACGGGAGCCTGGGCACTGCCCTCGGGCAGCAGGTCAGCTCCACTGGCATGGAACAAGAAGGAGGAGTTGGCCCCATCTCTCTCCCTAGAAGGGCAGAAACTTTTGGAGGATTTGACAGTCATCAGATGAGCGTCTCCAAGAGTGAGTAGTTACATGGGTCCACATCAGCTTTTGTTAAAAATGCATAATTAATAGCATATCCTCGTGCTTCAGAAGGACTCCAGCAGCTGGTGATTTGGTTTCCCAGCTCCTCTCCAATAATAGTTGATAGATTAAATAACGAATCAGGAAAATAAGCGTATGTACAGGTGGAATGATGGTTGCTGAGGACCCGTGGCTAAGTGAGGATAAGACATTTGAACTCTTCACTCCTCTCTCTCTGTGTTCTCTCTGAATTACCCTTACTTCTTGGCTTACATGCCACATGAAAGCATTTGACTTCTTAATAGATTAGTTTCTTCCTGTTCTTATTGTAATATCTGCAGCTCTGTTCTTTGTTCCTCAGTTATCTTCCAGCAGGAGCCTCATGCTGTTGCATTTGTAAACGGATGAGGATGTTGCTGAATCAAGCACCTTCTCCCCGGCTCTGCTCTTTGTGTATTTGCATTCCACACACAACTGCATGTGTTATTCCTGCAATTAAGTCTCTCCCAAACAAATGTAAAATTTATTTATTTAAATTTATTTGAGCTGCATAGTTGGCTGCTTCCCAATGTTCTTTTTCTTTGCCCAAGTCATCAGAAACTTCCCTGTCCTCAAATTCCTTTCTCTGTGGTCTCACTTATACTCCCAATACAGCCAGTTTTGTTGTGCTAGTGTCTGTCTCAGCATTGGGATTGTCGGACCTCGTCTGACGTTCTGCATTAAAGGAGCAGTGTTAGCTCCAGACAGTCAGACATGAGAAGTACGCAGAGGTTTTCCCAGCTCTGTTGGAAAGCTGCAAAGCCCTCCACAGGCCTTGTCATCATAATGACAAATATATTCACGCTGGAGGCGTTTGTTTCGGGTTGTGCCTCTCTCTGTTGCAGTGAAGAATGGGACAACCTCAGGCTGTGTATTGCCCAGCTCTAGGCTCTCTGTAGAAGTGTCCTCTTTTGGATTAGATTCTAATTCCATAGTTGTAGGGTCTTGGGAGAATTTGGGATAAGAGTGCAGGGCCTGTTTGTTCAGCTGGAGGCCGGGAGGCATGAAATGTGGCTTTCATCTCCAGTTCTTCTGTTCACAACCTGTGCAACCTTGGGCAAGGCTTATAACCTGACTCCCCTTCGTTCTCCCCTCCAGCAAAGCAGAAGGGAGGTGTTGCCTCCTGCAGAGAGGTGGAAGGTCCCAGGACGTGGCGCAGGAGAGAAGGTCTGTTAGGAGGATCTGAGGGTCAGCCTTTTATAGCAAAGCCGGCCTGGGGGGTGGTGGGAGGAGGGGGCATTTGCACTAGGCGCGATGTCCTTCGCGTTGCTGCAGGTACAGGTGTATGTAAAGCTGTATATCGTTAAAATTGAGTGCCAGTAGGAAGGTCACCAGTGCAGGTATGGGTCTTCCCCGTGGGCTGCATCTCAGCTGGCAAGGGGAGTGCAAGAGTCTTGGCAAGAGCTAGAGGACCAAACAGCTTTGCGGCTCCTCTGCCACCACGAGCAGAGGAACGTGCTGTTGGGCACAGCAGGTAGATGGTTGCAGCCCTCTTGGCCCCACAGTTCAGTCCTTCTGAGGAGCACTGATACGAGCCATCCGGGGGGAAGGTAGAAAGAGAAGGCCACTACCCTTTGAAGATAACAGGTTTCTGATAACCAAGGCTAAGGAGAAACTGCTAGCATATAATTACACAGGCTGTTGCACAGCAGTATCTGACCCAGCTGTAAATTGCACTTGCACAAGAGAGGCATTGAAACTATACCTTCAATAATATAGCCTGATATGATGCTGTTCTTGTTCTCCACCTGCTCTTACTCTGCCTCCTGTCTTCTCAGCAAGTATTCTTTGGTCATAGACAGCAGTGCAGGGCTTAGACAGACCACCAATTAATAGGAGAGTGCCGAATTTATCAGCACATAGTCAGTCCTAATCTGAATTCAGATCCACTTTTTCTGGTGGTGCTGACATGTTCTGTATACGTAGGGAGCAAATGCATTTAGTTAAAGTGTCAAGAGCACTGTGTCCCCTTCTGTGAAACATCCAAGTTTCCTGTATTAAATTTCTCAGACATTAGCAAGTTCATCTGTGCTTAAAAAGTTGAATAATCAGTGTCAATGCTGGCTTCTTCCTTTAGGTGGAGCGAAAGATGAAGGCGATGATGCTCAGGACCTTCGGAGAACAGAGTCGGACAGCATTTTAAAGAAGGTATCGCTTGGTTTGTCTGTCTGCTGCCACCGAGTTCAGATTTCAAGAGAGTGACAATTCGAGTCTTGAAAAATGCTTGAATTTCTTGACAATTGGAAGTATCCTAATAAGTTAAAAATAAAATAAAATTGGAAGTGTGCAGCCAAAAACAGTTTGCTGTAACTTAAATCCTGACTTGAGAACCATTGCAAATCAGTAGTATTCCTCTGTGGCACAGGGTATCTGCCATCTGTCTGCAGATCTGCTAAAGCATGTGTTTAATTATGCATCGTTATTGAAATGATAAGGTCAGCTATAACCTTGCACCTATTCTTGCTGTGTATCAATCTATCACATAACTACGAAATGATACCTAATTAACATTTTATTTCATATTATTTTAACTTGCCTAAAAAACATGCATGAATTCTCCCAGAATGGAAGGTGGAGGGGGGGTTTAATGTCTCTTATCATTAGTTCAGCTTCAGAACACATTTGCTATGATTTCTCATTTGTCCTCATATTAAATCTGTGATCTTCTCATAGGGTGGAAATGCTAATCTGATGTTCATGTTGAAAAGGAATAACGAGGTAAGAATTGATTCCATTGCTCAGCTGTTTCCTTCGTTTAAGTGGCAAGTGAATTTGTCTCAATAGGTCATAATGTAGAAGAAAATACATTTAATTTGATGAAGCGCATGTAGACTTTTAAATACATTAAGCTGAACCCACTGTGTCATTTATTTGTTTAACCTTGGATGTTCAGACAGGGAATTCACTGATTGTCATCTGCTTGCCAGCAGGATGATGTGTGCTGATTATAGGCAGCAAGGGTTAATTACCACTAGGATGCGCAGGGCTGTATTTATTGTGCTTCTGTAGACAGAGGGAGTTTAATTTTATGTTGCAGGTGCAGTGAATTGGGGCAATTAGATTTCTGTTCTCCCTTTGATACACATTCATAACTCCCAATTAGCATTAATGGCAGAATGAGAAGCAGTTCTCTTAATACTGGCTACCACACCACTATTGGAAATACTGCAGTGGTTTTTCTTCTTCTTAAAAGTAATTGTAGGATGTGAGAGCTTCAGAGAAATTTTTAGCTAGGCTAAAAATATATTTAGGGATAGGGCATCGCTCCAGAGTAGATTGCTCTGTATTGATGCGGAGTGTGTTCGCATTCACCTGTATTTTTAGGGAGCCTTCCATGAACACACCTGCTGTACTCGTGTGCACGCTGTATTGGAGTTTTTCTGTCTAATGAGAGTGGAACTTGTATGGGTCAGCCAGGGGGTGGAAGCGTACAGATAGTCCACATTCATTTTAAGATTTCTTCTTTTTTCGCCCCTTGAAGTTCTTTCCCTGAAATTTTTAAGTGAACTGCCAGGTTTCATCCCAATTACTCTGCTTGTTCTTGAGCAAGTTAGTGCTGCAGGAAATGGTTTGCAGAAACAACCCAGGAGCTCCCATTAGGTCTGTGTTGTTTGGTGCTTCTGCAGACGTTGCCTCCACTGCTGCAGAGATGACTAGGAAAGTGAGGAAGATGATACCAGGCACCTCTGTGAGATGTCCGAGGGATGTATTTGTGTACTTGGGGCTGATGCAGCCATTGCAAGTGAAGAGTGAGGAAAACGAAGGTGTAGAGGGATGGCTGTACAGCTGGTCAGACCCACCAGTGGGTCACAGTGGAAGAGGAGGGTGCCTTACGCATACCCTGGCACCCAGTGAGATCTAATAGCAATGCTTCTGTTTTCTCGCAGCAGGTCCTCCAAACCATTACCAGCCTCCGTAAGCTGCTCAGTGCTTTGCAGGTAGGCTTGGCCTTTCATCCCGCTTTTGCATGCCACTTGCCCAAACTGTGCATCCCACCAGCTGGTAGCAGCCACTCGCGCTTCGCCCCATGTCTCCCCTTCCCCTTCGCCCGTCCCATCCCTGTGCAGCTGATTACGCCATGGCTGGCAGGTCGTAGGAATGAGCTGCTGCCTAAGTGAACCAGTGCTTACCTGAATTTGGGAAGCTGCTGGGGAAGATGCTCTGCCAGCATCCTCTGGTAGCCCAGCCGTAAGGCAGCAGTGCTGAGCTGTGAATTTGGTGGGGGGGGAAGAAGAGGTTTGATACAGCACCCTGAGGTTTCCAGGTTTGGAGCCCCTTTCCATGAAGAGGGTGCTGCAGTGTTTTGTGTCGCCTCTCTTCTAGGGTGTCGTGCTGCAGCAGGACACCTACATCGAGGACCAGAAGCTGGCTCTGAGCGAGAGGGCTCTGAACCGAGGCTTCTTCCGGCCAACGTCGCTGCTGGAGCAGGAGAAGCAGCGCAACCTGGAGAAGCAACGCCAGGAGTTGGCCAACCTGAAGAAGCAGCAGACACAGCACCAGGACGAGAGACGGAGGAGAGAGAAGGAGTGGGAAGTCCGGGAGAAGGAGCTGGCGGAGCAGGAGGCCCTTGTGGCCCAGCGAGAGGAGCAGGTCCGGAAAGGATGGCAGGATCTCGAGCGGGAGCGAGAGGAGCTGCAGGTGAAGAAGGCCTCCTACCAGCTCGACCTGGAGAGGCTTCGCATGGCGCAAAAGCAGCTGGAGAGGGAGAAGGCTCAGTTGAAGCAAGACGTGGAGCGATTAGCTCAAATGCGGCAGGAGCCTGACCACAACCAGGTAAATGATGCCAATGGCTGGGCTGCTGGCGAAGCCGTGCCCTGCAAGGAGCTCCTGGACGGCTCCTGGGCCAACTGCACGCCAGCAGTGACAGACTGGTGCCAGCCCAGCCCTAGATGCGTGGGACCTGGTATTTAAAACTGGCCCTTTCCTTGCGCGTGAGGTGCAGGGCTGCGTTTCTTGCACCTCCAGAGCTGCTGAGGCGTTGCCAGTGTTGATGCAGCATGGTGTGTTGTGGCCAGTCCTGAGCCACAGGTGGTTACAGCAGCTGGAGCTCAGCCCACGCTTGTGTGCCGCGTCTTGGCAGACAGCAGAGCCGAGGTGGCTGGCTTGCAGAGAAGGTGCCCTAGGCAATCCCTGGAGCTTGATACTGCCTTTGATGTTGGCTTCCAGCCCATGGGGGCTGAGCTCTGCAGAGTGGTCAGGCAGATGAGACATCCTTCTCGGACACAGCCTGAACATTGTGGGTTACCTGCACCCTCCGGCTGTCACAAAAGCCACTTGCGAGGCTGATGGCTGCAGGGAAAGGCTGTTTGTACGCTTACATCCATCTCCAAAAGCATTCCTGGTATCTAGCAAAGAGATGGGCATTGTCCTTGGGGTAGAGACTGGGCATCTGCAGTCCGGTCATGGCTCAGTGAGCGAAGGTCCCTGATTCTGCTACAAGAGACTTCTGGTGTCTGGCTGCCCACAACCAGAAAGAAAAGGCCACACGCAGATCCTGCTCTCTGCGTTTTTCAGCAAGCTGGGGTTTATTTTTTTTAACTGCGGCGGTCTGGCTGAGGAGAGCAAGCATCCGTTGGCAAAACATAGGCTGAATTTGAGCCGTAAGCCTGTTGTTGATCTTTTGTTTGTTTGTAACTCGCTAATTCTGAATGTAATTTGCTTAGAGCTGTAGCAAAATTAGTTTATAAATGTTGGATTGCAGAATGGAAATTATTTTGGGTGCCTGAATGGACTAATTGCAGAGCTCAGCAGTGAGTTCTGAATTGCAAATCATCAGAGGAAGGCTTGCTCCCTCCCACCCCGCTTCCTCATCAGGCCAGAAGTTTTCCGAGCACACAGTGGAACTGTTCCAGCATCCAGCACACGCAGACATGTGAGAGGCATGGATGCTATGGGAGAGGCTGAGAGGTAAAATAGCTGCGAGGCCTGGGGGATTAGGAGAAGGAAGCAGCTTTTCCACGCAGGTATCTTACTGACATTTTGGAGCTATTAACAGAGGGTTCGGTGAGGCTTTGTTGAGCTGTTGTTTTGATCTTCCCTTTGAATGTGCGGGCTCAATTACATCCCGAGACGGCCATTAGGGAAAAAAAAAAAAAAGAAAAAATCAGGAAAAGTGTTTTTGCTTTCATCTTTTGCTTGGGAAGGCTTCCTTTGACGTATGCCGCTCCGGTGCTGCTGCTGGCGTTCCCCCGCCAGAGAGGCACGCTTCTCCTTGGCCTTCTGCCACCTTCTGTGTGCACGAGCGATGCAGGGTGAGTCTTGGTGTTGAGATCTTAGAGAATATTTGCCCTTGGCTTGTTGATACATAGCGTAGTACATGTAGGAGCAACAGATACTGGAGCGTTACTCTTTATATGCCGCATTTCTTCATCTTAAATAGAGGGCTGCTTTTCTCATTGCTCTGCCTGGATAGGGCCCGCTTTTTAGCTGGCGAATGTTCACGAGAACAACCTCTTTCTCTGAGTGGTCTGGGACAAAGTTTTCTTACCCAGGTTCTCTGCTAGCCTCTTTCATGCTCAATGAGACACTTTTCCTTTATAGGTTTCAAATCTACATGAGAAACTTGCAAGAGTCTCCTCCCAGTCCAGCATCGATGACTCCTCCAAACAGAAGAGCCCTTCCCTTCCTAAACAAGGGCACTTTGATGCGGAACTGTCTGTCTCCCCTAAAAGGAACAGTCTTTCAAGGACACACAAAGAGAAAAGCACTTTCCATTTGCTTAGCACAACAAACCAGACTAACAAGGCAGCTGAGGAACAACCACAGATGCCTACCCGCCTCTTCAGTTTAGCCAAACCAAAGGAGAAGAAGGAAAAGAAGAAGAAGGGCAGGGGACATCGCTCCCAACAATCTGGTGAGTGTCAGGGGAGGTCATGGGTTTTCACGGTCGGTGAGCTGGCTTTTCGCTCCAGCCAGCAAATTTGTGACAGCCACGAAATCTAGCCTTGAATGTGGATGGTAACAGGGTGATGGATAAGATCAGCTGTCATGAGTGGAGTTCCCAGCTTGAAGTGATCTTCAGTGGGCTTTTCTGCCTGTTCTGCAGCCCCCAGGTTGTGTCAGAGGGATACACTCTGCTCCCTGCTCCTTCCCTTCCCCATCCCATCCTGAGCAGCCTCCACAGGCCAGATTCTTCCTTTATGTCGTGCTTCAGTATGTGCTTTCAGGAGCTGCTGCTGGGATGCTCCTGGGTGTTGGAGCCCCTGCGGCATTGCTGTCTGCCGTAACTCTGTTGTAGTTTGGAAGTGATACCCGCAACCCTTCTGGTGGCCTCTCCCTTCCCCTCAAGCCAGTCTGTCTTGTCTCTTGATCTGGGAAAAAAAAAACATGCAGTTTTTTTCTCTGGTTTGCATCCCCTTAGTACTCTGTTCTACACCTCAAACCTCTGACCCACATGAAATTTGATCTCACACCCTCTGATGACCGGCTTTATCCATATTAACTGACTGATGTTTTCCAACTTGTGCACAGGAAAGCTCAGCAATTACGAGATGTAATTTCGTGGTAGCTCACCAGGGAACTGGGCATCTTTTAAGGTGCCCAGTGGATTTGGCAGACAGTGGGGTTTCCAGGCACATCGAGTCCTGCTCTCCCTGCCGTATTCCTGTATTCCCATAGTGATTCCCACCTATTGTTTTTTTTGTTCTGCAGATTCTCACTCATCAGAAGCACCTCCAGAGGGTGAGGAGATCTTCTGCTGAGCACAGACGGTTCCATCGGTCACTCTCAGCATTGGTACAGTGGACATCTCCCTACCCACTCCACAGCACGCTGCTGGTGCCTGCATCTGACAAGCATCTGGAGGTTTAAATAAAACATGTTATGAAGTCTGTTAAGTGGTGGGAAGGGGCCTCTCTCCTGTGGTTTTCCGTGAATTCTCGCCACAGAGGCTGACTGCACGGCAAATATGCCATCGCTCTGTGCAAACCTTGGGTTAAACGGATTGGGATGGATGTTTTCTGTCTCCTCTTACTGCTAAAGGATGAGAGAACATAGCCTTAAGGGGTCTGTGCCTTCAAATTCCCCTTTTCTGGGGAACTTAACCAAAACCAAGCATTTAGCAAAAGATTAGGACTCTACAAATGGTGCGTACACACTGGCATATATAGATATAATGTATATATACATATATGTATCTATGTATCCACTGGGATATGCTTACAGTCTGTACAGCCAAGCTTAGCTCGGCCCATGGGGATAGACGACACCTGATGACTGTCAGGGAGCGTGTAGATATTAAATATCTTGCCCTTACTGCTCCAGTTGTAACGCCGTGGACTCGCACGGCCCTGCTGTGCTCATGGCGTAGGGACTGTTTGCTTTCGAACAGGAAGCAGTAACAGTGTTCAAAACAAAAAATCAGAGGAAAAATATAGAATTGAAAGTCATTCTGAAAGATTTCCATGGGGCAGAGAATTTAAATGTCAAACTGTTTCCAGAATCAAGCAGACTGTCTTTGGGTATATTTAAAACGATGCAGAAAAGAGAAATTGTAAGGCAACCCCAGGGAGCTAGAACAGATTTGTTCATGTGGGAACAACTCTAAGCAACATTTTTTTACCCAATCTCTTTGAACTCCACCTCACTCCTTTCCATCCGCTAAGAAAAGATCTTTTTTTTTGTCAGAATATGATTCTCTGGTTGCATTTAGCATCCCTTCATTGCAAGCCTGACGACTTACTGGAGAGATGGCTGAAAATCCGCTTTTAGGGACCTTTGTTCTGTTATTTGTGTTTTTCTTCCCCTGCGTTTTGTGTTAAGATTGGGCTTTGTTTCTCTGGGTTTTGTCAGCTTCCCTTGCTCGTTTCTAAGGCAGAAGGAGACAACCGCAGTTTCAGAGCGCTTCGCTGAGGTGTCGCAGGTCAGGGGACCGAGTGCAGCGAGCAGAGGCCGCTCCTGCTCCCTGTGCCTACACAATACCACGCGCTTACTAACCGTTTCTGGGGAGAAAAATACGTTCTCCCGGAGAAAACCACTGTGGGAGAGGTCCAAAGGTCCAGTGTGGCAGGTCCGTTCCCGTCGCCGTGGGCTCTGGGGTGGAAGTGTCCGTGTGTCCCCCGTGTTGCCGTCGGCGGAGGGGGTTCTTCCAAACCCTCTCGGGGGAATTGCCGGAGCCAATGTGTAAATGGTTATGAGACGCTGTCAGCTTCAGAGCAGCTCAGGGGTTTGCTCAGAGTTTGAAGCTGTCCAGTGCGTTTCCTTTCCTACCAGTTTTTCTTTTTAAAAAAAAAAATTCTCTGCTTGCACTGTTGTTTGATTTCGGTTTGCTCTCTGGCTTCTCACAAGCTGGTAACCCACAGCAGTTTTCAGAGGTCGGTGCCGATGAGCATGAGCAGCGTTGATGGTGAGGTGGATGCTGAGACCGGTCTGGCTTGGTCAGTGCAGGAATCCTAAATCGCCTGCTTGCTTTTGAAGCTCTTTCAAATATTAAGACTCAAAAAAAAAAAGGAGGGGGGAAAGAAAAGAAAAAGGTTTGAGATTTATTTTTATTTTGCTTTTTTTAATATTATTTGGTGCTTGTAATTAATTGCAAGCAGGGCTTGCAAAAAATATTTATCTTTCTGTTTGTTTGAAAGAGTTCTTTTTTTAAAAGAAGTTTACTTGGTTTTATTTTTTTATTTCTTTTTACTTTTGCTTTCATTTGGGGGTTTGAGGGGTGGTTTGGTTTTTTTTCTTTTTTTCTTTTTCTTACCAAGAGATTGGTAAACCAAATGCTCTTATCACCCTAGTTCATAAAAAAACAGGGTTTGGGCAGTGCTGCTTAGCAGCCCACGCCATGCCCAGAGTCACACAATTTCAACTGAGAGCTTTCTTTAAGGCAAAGCACCTTTGGGCCAAGAAAAGTCTGGAAGAAGCAGCAATGACTTCAGAGAAGACTCCTCCTATCAGTTAGTTTCTTTGTTTAAATATTTTGTTTAGGTTTTCTCATACCTCTTGAAGGCAAAGGAGAAAGCAAAACATTGAGCGTCTGTCTTGCAGTGATGTGTCTGGTCACTTGTCCAGGGAGATCCAGGCAGCTCTGCTCCTGAACGTGAAAGGAGCTGGAGGAGGCACGTGCTGCTCTTGTGGTGTTATTGTTTTCATAGGAAAAACACCAATTTCACAAGAGTACTTCTGCCTTGCTATTTGTACATCTGTGAAAATGAATGTGCCAAGCTGAAAGTTTTGGAAACCAAAGCAGTGCACGGCTCGTTTGCTGTTGTGTGAACAGAGATCAGGTCCCTGCTATTTCTGAAAGTTCCCCTTGGTCTGTAACAGCCTTTGTCAGTAAGAGCTTTTCTTTTCATCCCTCTGTCTTTTTCCCAGTCCTGACACATCCTGAATCCGCAACACGGGAATGTCCCGTGGCTCAGAGAAGGGCGTCAGAAGGGAGACGCGTGACCCAGGGCAGCAGCGCTGAGTCTCTGCCGGGCTCGACCATCTCTTCTGACCTGTGCAAATCAAAAAGAGCATTCAGTGCCCTCAGTGAAAACGGTGTTTGTGATCTCCTAAGGTCCCCATGGTTCCTTGTCAAAGAAATCATGGATGTGAATCAGAAATATACTGACTAGAAACACGGTGTGTCAAAGGTGTTGTGTCTCAGGTTCTGGAGGACAGACCTGTGTCCCCGTAGGATGTATGTTAGTGCATGAGTCGCTTTTTTGGAATGAAGTCTTTCCTCCCACGCTGCTTCCTCCTTCTTTCACCTTTAGGAAGGTGAGCACTTGTTTTTATCTGTTTAGCCTTTTGTTTTTCCCCCTCTCAGGTTTTGTTCGGAAAGGCTTGGCATAGGTTCCCAGGGTTGGATTCCTGCGGTGATCCCTGCAGGTTGCCTAGGGTTGTCTGCTAGGGTAGGGTCCCACCTTTACAGCGCCGAA